CGCCCCTCCGCCCTCCGTTGTTGATGGAGGGCGACTGCCTCCAACTGCCCAGTAGCGTCCTTCACGAGCCTCCTCCACAGAGGCCGATCTTGACACCGCTGGTACCAGTCATCGGCAAGTCCACTCAGCTCCACGTCTTCCTGTACCACATCACTCCATCTCTTCTCTAGCCCGTGCCGCGCCCGTTTAGCCCCCTCGATCCGGCCGAACAGAAGCTGTTTGGGCATGCGGTGGCTGGGCATACGGGCTACATGGCCCAGCCAATGCAGCCTTGCCTGCCGGAGGAGCTCACCGTTGGGAACTTGCCCAGATCTTTCAAGGATTTGTGAGCTCACATAATCCAGCCTGGTTAAACCCAGGATGGGTCGTAGGCAGGCCAGCCTTAATGTTTATAACCGGGGAAGATGTTCCATTAGGGGGGTCCACGTTTCACACACAACCACACACACAGACACAACCACACACAACCACCCACAACACCCACACAGCCACACAGCCACACAACACCCACACAGCCACACACACAACCACACACACAACAACAACCGCCATTTGCCACTAAGTGGCGGTGACGTCACCATGACGCTTGTGCCAGGCCATGTGCACCTTGAGGCCACGTGAAGTGTCGAACGCCCGCGGGCAGGAGGTCACGGGGCAGACCCAGGTGCCACGGGTCGACTGACTGAGAGGACTGGCTGATGCACCACCTGTGCCCCCTACTGTGCCAACCTGCTTTGCTTTAGCCACCCGGCGCTCCGCTCGTTGTGAGCGTCGCTCCTCCAACCTCCGTTGTTGTTGGAGGGCGACTGCCTCCAACTGCCCAATAGCGTCCTTCACGAGCCTCCTCCACAGAGGCCGATCTTGACACCGCTGGTACCAGTCATCGGCAAGTCCACTCAGCTCCACGTCCTTCTGTACCACATCACTCCATCTCTTCTCTAGCCCGTGCCGCGCCCGTTTAGCCCCCTCGATCCGGCCGAACAAAAGCTGATTTGGCATGCGGTGGCTGGGCATGTGGGCTACATGACCCAGCCAACGCAGCCTTGCCTGCCGGAGGAGCTCACCGATGGGACCTTGCCCAGATCTTTCAAGGATTTTTGAGCTCGCACAATCCAGCCTGGTTAAACCCAGGATGGATAGTAGGCAGGCCAGCCTAAATGTTTCCAACCGGCGAAGATGCTCCATTAAGGGGGTCCACGTTTCGCAAGCGTAGAGAAGGGAGGGAATGACCGTGGCCGAGAAGACCTGAAGCTTAGTGCGGAGCGACAGACCAGGTAGCTTCCACACAGCGTTACGCAACCGATGAAAAGATATTGCCGCTCGACTGATTCGGAGTGAGACCTCTGCTGTTAAACTGGAGCCGGTCATAAGCACACTGCCCAGGTATGGGAAACTCTCCACTCTCCACAACTGCCCCATCACCGATTGGGAGTTGTGGGGGTGGAGTGTCCGATGGTACAAAATACCCAGGCAGGTGCTTAGTTTTGGTGGGGCTGATGGAAAGGCCCCACCTCTTAGTGGCACGCTCCAGTCTCAGCAGCAGCGTCTCCAACTCCTCCTCTGACTGAGCAGCTATTACCAAATCATCAGCATACATAACGTGGTTGAGCAATAGGGAGCCATCCCTTGACCGCACCTGGGCATCGATCAGCCTCCCATTATATCTGTACCAAATGGAGATTCCCCCGGTACAGCTATTGAAGGCTTCACGAACTATGTGGTCAAAATAGATGTTAAATAATGTGGGAGCCAGAGGACATCCCTGTCGCACCCCAAGGTGTACAGGGAAAGGCTCTGACACCCACCCACGTAGTTTTACCCGGGCCCGCTCACCATTATGAAGGTCTTTAATGATCTTGAGCAGAGGGTCAGGGACTCCAAAAGCACGAAGAACAACCCAGAGCCCAGGCCTACTGATGCCATCATAGGCCTTGACCAGGTCAATAAAGCAGAGATGTAGGTCTTGTTGGAATTCCCTACACCACTGCTGTAGCAGACGGACAGGAAATATGGCATCTGTGCAGGACCGCCCTTTCCTGAAACCGCATTGGGGCTCTGCAAGCCTCTCCTCAGCGTGCCTGGCGAGGCGATGTTGAATAATCCTTGCCAGGACCTTTCCCGGCACACTGAGGAGTGAGATGCTTTTGTAGTTGTTACAGTCTGTGCGGTCCCCCTTCTTAAAGAGGGGGACCACCAGGGCATCCTTCCAATCCTGCGGAACCCGTCCAGTGGTCCAGACCGTTGTTATGATGTCATATAGGGCAGTCTGTGCACAAACGCCACCCTCCCTCAGCAGTTTGCTTGGGAGATCATCTCTGCCCGGTGCCTTTCCTGGTCTCAGACTCCGGATCGCCTTCAGTACTTCCTCAACAGATGGTACCTCAGCCAGCCACTCGCAGAGGGTGACTTCCTCCAATATTTGAGGCACCGCAGCCTCAGCAGGGTCATCCTCACTTTGTACCACGATGTTTTCCTTGCTGAGGGATTTTTCCTCCCCCAGGACCTCACAGAAATGCTCAGCAAATCTGCAAACCTGTTCCTGGAGGTCGGAGATTGGATCACCGTTTTTTCCCCTAAAGATGGTAATAGGTGTGGCGCTGCAGGTTACTTTTTTGATGGAGTTAAATAGAGATTTGTGATCGCGGGCCACTGAGGCAGACTCCATCTCCTCAGCAACCCGCGACCACCACCCATCCTTGCAGCGCCTCACGGCTCTCCGAACCTCCGAGCGAAGGCTGCGGTAAGCCTCCTCATTCTCTGACGTGGGATTCTGTAGCCGATGACAGTGGGCCTGTCGCTTTTTCTCAACCATCCTGAACACCTCCTCTGTCAGCCAGGGTCTCTGGGGAGGTCTGGACCGCGTACCCAAAGCAGCCATTGCAGCTGCATGAGTCACAGTCATAAACCTCGCCCATTTACCCTCAACATCAGGAGGAGTGGGGGACGATGCCAACCCCAGCCGCAAGCATTGATGAAATTCTCACAACCACACACAACCACACACAACACCCACGCACACAACTACAAACAACCACACATAGCCACACACAACCACACACAGACACACACAGACACACACCCACACACAGCCCCACACACACAACCACACACAACACCCACACACAACCACACACAACACCCACGCACACAACAACCACACACAACCACACATAGCCACACACAACACCCACACACACAACCACACACACAACCACACACAACATCCACACACAACCACACACACAACACCCACACACACAACAACCACACACACAACCACACACACAACACCCACACACACACACAACAACCACACACAGCCACACACAACACCCACACACACAAGAACCACACACAACCACACACAACAACCACACACACAACAACCACACACAACCACACACACAACAACCACACACAGCCACACACAACCACACACAGACACACACCCACACACACAACCACACACAGACACACACACAACAACCACACACAGCCACACACAACACCCACACACACAACAACCATACACAACCACACACAGCCACACACAACAACCACACACAACTACACACACAACACCCACACACACAACAACCACACACAGCCACACACAACACCCACACACACAACAACCACACACAACCACACACACAACAACCACACACAGCCACACACTCACACCTCGTTATTAGTCAGGAATTTGTCAAAGCTCGCTTCGCCGCAGTCATTGTAGGAAAAGTAGTCCCGGCTCTGGGGAGGGGGTAGGGAGTGGGGGGGAGGCGGTGAATCCGAGTGTATCCCTCCGCTCAGCGCCGCTGAGTCGCCGTGACTCAGATGTTTGGTGACTTGCAGGGTCAGTCACGTGACCTCCTGCACATAGCCTGGCACAGCAGTCAACCCATGGCACCTGCATGGTCTGTCACGTGACCTCCTCCTGCACCTAGCCTGGCACGGCAGTCAACCCATGGCACCTGCAGGGTCAGTCACGTGACCTCCTGCACCTAGCCTGGCACAGCAGTCAACGCATGGCACCTGCAGGGTCAGTCACGTGACCTCCTGCACCTAGCCTGGCACAGCAGTCAACGCATGGCACCTGCAGGGTCAGTCACGTGACCTCCTGCACCTAGCTTGGCACAGCAGTCAACCCATGGCAACTGCTGTGTCTGTTCCGTGACCCCCACAGAGACCCATAGACACCCACATAGACCCATAGACACCCACAGAGACCCATAGACACCCACAGAGACCCATAGACACCCACAGAAACCCATAGACACCCACAGAAACCCATAGACACCCACAGAAACCCATAGACACCCACAGAGACCCATAGACACCCACAGAGACCCATAGACACCCACAGAGACCCACAGACACCCACAGAGACCCATAGACACCCACAGAGACCCATAGACACCCTCAAAGACCCATAGACACCCACAGAGACCCATAGACACTCACAGAGACCCATAGACACCCACAGAAACCCATAGACACCCACAGAGACCCATAGACACCCACAGAAACCCATAGACACCCACAGAGACCCATAGACACCCTCAAAGACCCATAGACACCCACAGAGACCCATAGACACCCACAGAAACCCATAGACACCCACAGAGACCCATACTAAAACTAAACTACGTGGATATTTAAGTGCAGAAGCCGCATACTGCACTCTAGAGCTACACAGCATACCTGGTCAACATTTGTAAATAATATTTAAAAATATTTTTAACAATATAAATATCCACTATTCCTTCAAGTAAATAAGCACATTTGTACATATATTATGTTTGTAACTCGTAATAATCCGGTTAAAATCTACTATTCCTTCAAGTAAATAAACACACACTTTCATATATATACAATGTTTGTAACTCGCAATAATCCGGTTAAAATCTACACGTTCTAATAAGCGGGACTACTTTTCCCTCACGCTCTTCGCGCACTCGCACACGCTGGCGGCGGTGAAGCGTGCGGGCGCGTCACTATAAATAGTCCCGGCCTCCCCTCACCACCGCCAATGTCACAAGTCGCCGTCGCCTCCGCTGCGTCCTCTCACTCTCAACGCGACGCAATCCGATCGCATCCGGCCCGATAATCGATACCGATCGATCTGCTGCTCATCGGCTATAATCGAAGAGGAGACGAAGACGACGACGATGATGATGATGGCGATGGCGACCGCTGGTGGCTTGTTGAGGCGCGGAGCCGTTCGGGCGGCCTCGGCTCGGGCGCTTTGCGCGCAGCCGCCAGCGCCGGCAAAGGCCTCGCCAGCCGCACGTAAGACGCAACAATTGTCAATAACACACTAACACTATTGTTAATAATAACATAACTATTGTCAATAACAATATAACACTATTGTTAATAATAACATTATAACTATTGTCAATAACAATATAACACTATTGTTAATAATAACATAACTATTGTCAATAACAATATAACACTATTGTTAATAATAATAACATTATAACTATTGTCAATAACAATATAACACTATTAATAATAACATAACTATTGTCAATAACACAATAACACTATTAATAATAACATTATAACTATTGTCAATAACACTATTGTTAATAATAACATGATAACTATTGTCAATAACAATATAACACTATTGTTAATAATAACATAACTATTGTCAATAACAATATAACACTATTGTTAATAATAATAACATTATAACTATTGTCAATAACAATATAACACTATTAATAATAACATAACTATTGTCAATAACACAATAACACTATTAATAATAACATTATAACTATTGTCAATAACACTATTGTTAATAATAACATTATAACTATTGTCAATAACACTATAACACTATTGTTAATAATAACATTATAACAATTGTCAATAACAATATAACACTATTGTTAATAATAATAACATTATAACTATTGTCAATAACAATATACCACTATTAATAATAACATAACTATTGTCAATAACACTATAACACTATTATTAATAACATAATTGTCAGTAACAATATAACACTATTGATAATAATAATAACATATAACTATTGTCAATAACACTATTGTTAATAATACCATTAAAACTATTGTCAATAACACTATAGTTAATAATAACATTATAACTATTGTCAATAACAATATAACACTATTGTTAGTAATAATAACAACTATTGTCAATAACACTATAACACTATTGTTAATAATAACATTAAACTATTGTCAATAACACTAACACTATTGTTAATAATAATAACATAACTATTGTCAATAACAATATAACACTATTGTTAATAATAACATAACAATTGTCAATAACAATATAACACTATTGTTAATAATAACATTATAACTATTGTCAATAACACTATAACACTATTGTTAACACTAACATTATAACACAATAACACTATTGTTAATAATATTAAACTATTGTCAATAACACTATAACACTTGTTAATACTAACATTATAACTTGTTAATAGCATTACATTATAACACAATAACACTATTGTTAATAATATTAAACTATTGTCAATAACACTATAACACTTGTTAATACTAACATTGTAACTTGTTAATAGCATTACATTATAACACAATAACACTATTGTTAATAATTACATTAAACTATTGTCAATAACACCATAACACTATTGTTAATAATTACATTAAACTATTGTCAATAACACCATACCACTATTGTTAATAATAACATTAAACTATTGTTAATAATAACATTACTTTTTAATAATAACATAACTTGTTAATAACGCAATCACAATAACATTAAACTATTGTTAATAATAACATTAAACTATTGTCAATAATAAAATAACATTAAACTATTGTTAATAACATAACTTGTTAATAACATAACTTGTAACACAATAACACTTACTATTGTTAATAATAACATTATAACTTGTTAATAACACATTCACAATAACATTAAACTATTGTTAATAATAACATAACTATTGTTAATAACATAACAATATAACACTAACCTATTGTTAATAACATAACTTGTCAATCACACAATAACATTAAACTATTGTTAATAATAACATTATAACTTGTTAATAACACAATCACACAATAACATTAAACTATTGTTAATAATAACATAACTATTGTTAATAATATAACATTATAACACAACATTAAACTATTGTAAATAATAACATAACTTGTTAATAATATAACAACTATTAATAATAACACAACTAGTGTTAATAACATAACATATCTATTGTTAATAACAACATAACTATTGTTAATAATAACATGATAATAACATTAAACTATTGTTAAAATCATGATAACTATTGTTAATACCATTATAACACTAACATTATTATTGTTAATAATGACACTTGTTAATAACATAACTATTGTTAATAACATAACTATTAATATAATTATAACACTATTACTATGGTTAATAACATAACTTGTTAATAATAACATAACTATTAATAATATCATAACACTAACACTATTGTTAATAACAACACTATAACACTATTGTTAATAACATTACTATTGTTAATAACATTAAAACACTAACACTATTGTTAATAACATAACACTTACTATTGTTAATAACACAACACTTACTATTGGTAATAACATAACTATCGTCAACATAACTATTGTTATAATAAAACTGACTATTATAATAACGTAACTATTGTTATAATAACAATCACTACACAAGTAATAACACTCAATATTGTTATTGTTATAACTTAGCGTGACTTATTATAACTTAGTAGTAGTGTAACTTATTAGTGCAACTTCGTAGTGTGTGCAACTTATTAGTGCAACTTCGTAGTGTGTGTAACTTATTAGTGTAACTTCGTAGTGAGTAACTTATTAGTGTAACTTCGTAGTGTGTGTAACTTATTAGTGTAACTTTGTAGTGAGTGTAACTTATTAATGTAACTTCGTAGTGAGTGTAACTTATTAGTGTAACTTCGTAGTGTGTGTAACTTATTAGTGTAACTTCGTAGTGAGTGTAACTTATTAGTGTGACTTCGTAGTGAGTGTAACTTATTAGTGTAACTTCGTAGTGTGTGTAACTTATTAGTGTAACTTCGTAGTGAGTGTAACTTATTAGTGTAACTTTGTAATGTGTGTAACTTATTAGTGTAACTTCGTAGTGAGTGTAACTTAGTGTAACTGACACTGATTGCTACATTGTAGAGTATACATGACACACTACATGATGCACTATACTGCACTATATTACACTGTACACTACACCCTACGTTATGTATTATACCTTACACTCTTTGTGCTATAACATTGTATAAACGTTACGTATATAACTTATTGCAACTTGGTGTAACTTAGTGTAACTGCTACTGATGTGACTTGCGTTGTGTCGTGGAGCTGGTTGGACAGGTTGCTTGCTACATTGTAAATTATACATGATACACTACATACACTACATTATATACTACACTTTAGATTATACATGATACACTGCAGGAAGTGCAAAGGGCGATCTGGAGTCTGAGATCCGGTGAAGCCCCGCGGGGCAGAGATGGTCTCCCAAGTGACCTGCTGAGGGAGGGTGGCGTTTGTATGCAGACTTCCCTAAATGACATAATAGTAGTCTGGACCACTGGACAGGTTCTGCAGGATTGGAAGGATGCCCTGGTGGTCCCCCTCTTTTAAGAAGGGAGACTGCACAGACTGTAACAACTACAGGGGCATCTCACTCCTCAGTTTGGTTGGCTGAGGTGCCATCTGTTGAGGAAGTACTGAAGGCGATCCAAAATCTGAGACCAGGAAAGGCAGCGGGCAGATGATCTCCTAAGGGAAATGCTGAGGGACGGTGGCGTTTGTGCACAGACTGCCCTACATGACATCATCACGACATCACAACAGTCTGTACCACTGGACTGGTGCCGCAGGATTGGAAGGATACCATGGTGGTCCCCCTCTTTTAAGAAGAGGGGACCGCACAGACTGTAACTATAGGGGCATTTCATCCCTCAGTGTAGCCGGGAAAGGTCCTGCCTAGGATTATATTTAGCATCGCCTTGCCAGGCAGCACGCTGAGGAGAGGCTTGCGGAGACCCAATGTGGTTTCAGGCCAGTGCGGTCCTGCACAGATGCCGCTCTCTCTGCCTGTTTGCGACAGCAGAGGTGTAGGGAATTCCAACAAGACCTACATCTCTGCTTTATTGACCTGACCAAGGCCTATGCTACCATCAGTAGGCCTGGGCTCTGGGTTGTTCTCCGTGCTTTCGGAGTCCCTGACCCGCTGCTCACGATCATTAAGGACCTTCATGATGGTGAGCGGGCCCGGGTAAAACTACGTGGCCGGGAATCAGAGCCATTCCCTGTTCACCTTGAGGTGCGACAGGGATGTTCTCTGGCTCCCACATTATGTAACATCTATTTTGACCACGTAGTTTGTGAAGCCTTCAATAGCTGTACCGGGAAAATTTCCATTTGGTACAGATACAATGGGAGGCTGATCAATGCCCGGGTGTGGTAAAGGGATGGCTCCCTATTGCTCAACCACGTTATGTATGCCGATGATCCAGTAATTGCTGTTCACTCAGAGGAGGAGTTGGAGACGCTGCTGCTGAGACTGGAGCTTGCCACCAAGAGATGGGGCCTTACCATCAGCCCCACCAAAACTAAGCACCTGCCTGAGTATTTTGTACCATCAGACACTCCACCCCCACAACTCCTAATTTGTGATGGGGCAGTTGTGGAGAGTGGAGAATTTCCCCATACCTGGGCAGTGTGCTCATGACCAGCTCCGGTTTTCATTGGCTGCGTAGGACTGTGGAAGCTACCTGGTCGATTGCTCCACACGAAGCTTCGGGTCTTCTCAGCCACGGCCATGCCTTCCCTCTCTTTGCTTTTGAAACGTGGACCCCCGTAATGGAGCATCTATGCCAGTTAGAAACATTCAGGCTGGCCTGCCTACGATCCATCCTGGGTTCATACAGGCTGGATTGTGTGAGGAGCTCACATATCTTTGAAAGATCTGGACACAGTCCCATTAGTGAGCTCCTCCGGCAGGCAAGGCTGTGTTGGCTGGGTCTTGTAGACCGTATGCCCAAGCAGCTTCTGTTTGGCTGAATAGGGGGCTAAATGGGCACAGCATGCGCTGGAGAAGAGATGGAGTGATGCGGTACGGGAGAATGTGGAGCTGAGTGGACTTGCCGATGACAAGTACCAGCGGTCTCAAGATCGGCCTCTATGGAGGAAGTCCATGAAGGACGCTACTGGGCAGTGCCAGGCTAGATGCACCTTGAGGCCACTGGGCAGTTGGAGGCAGTCGCCCTCCAACAACAACGCAGGGCAGAGGAGTGACGCTCACAAGAACGAGCGGAGCGCCGGGTGGCTAAAACGCAGCGAGTTGGCACAGTAGGGGGTTACAGCTGGTGGTGCATCTACCGGTCATCTCAGTCGGTCAACCCATGGCAACTGCAGGGTCTGTGTGTAGGTGCTGCGGTGGCGAGATGTTGACCACCCCGCATGGTATACAGGAGGCCGTGGGCTCAATGTTAACTACCTCACTTGGTATACAGGAGGTCGTGGGTTCGATGCTGATGCCTGCTGTATATATTGAAGTCTGCGTCTCTGACCCTGTGGTGGTCACTGCGTGGATTTTTCCGCGGCTCCGTTTTTTTAGAATCGACGTCACTGCGCATTTAGAGTATTTGGCTGTTATACATTTCCATTTCATAAGCCACTTGATTGAGCTGCTATAATTAGTGATGGCCAGGTCGCTTCTGATTAAAGAGCTAAACAACAGCTCAGTGGGTGCCTTACACCTGGTGACATTAACTTAGTTTCGTTTTAGTATTGGTGTCTGTGGGGGTCTGTGGATCTCTGGGTTTTAGGTGGGTGTCTATGGGTCTGTGTGGGTCTATATGGATCTCTGTGGGTCTATGAGTCTCTATGTATCTCCATGCGTTTAGAGTGTCTGCTGCTATAAATGTCCACGTGATGATGACGATGATATCGGCCACTTGGCTGAGCTGCTGTCATTTGTGATGGCCAGATCACTTCTGACAAGAAGCGCTTCGCGGCAAAGTCGACTCTTGCTTTTAGTTTGTAACTTGTTCTGCCGCCCCCCCCCGCCCGTCCCCGGCGTAGCCAAGGCACAGTTCCGTGTCCCCGGCTATCGGCCCACGCCCATGGACAGGAGGCTGCTGCTGTGGTCGGGGAGGTTCAAGAAGGAGGATGATATCCCGGAGACGGTCACGTGAGTGGTGACTTCACCGCCACCACTGTAATCATTATCATCATCGTCATTGCTATCATCACTGTCATTACTATCGTCACTGTCATCATCAACACGATCCTCATCACTGTTGTAATGACTCTGATGACAAGGATATATGGGCCACTTTTATTAGTTACACCTTAAGGAACCCTATGGATTACACAATAAGGCACCCTACATGGGTAGTGTTGAGTCAATGTGTAACGACTCCCACAACAAGTTATGAGAAGAGCCACTTTCATTAAAGACCTCCACAATACGGAACCCTCTTAGACTTCTACGATGAGGCACCCTAAGCTTGGTGACTGTCACCTGGCTTGTCTCTACCCCCCCCTCCCTTCTATCCCCTCTGCAGCACCCCTTTCTCTATTCTTCTCACCCATAGTTTGTTTTTTACCTCTATCCAATCCCCCATCCGTTCCCTTTAATGGATCCTTCCTTTCTGTTCTAACCCCTGGTCTTCCTATGCCTCTTAGAGGTCAGCCACCCGATCAATCAACCGTGGAGGCCCCTTTCCTCCAATCGGAGATGGTTGTTTTTTTAAAGACGCTTAGACTGCCATTTGGCTTTTGGGTCCTTATTTCGGTCATTAAACTTTCATCGCTATCATTGTCATCACTATTATTATTGCTATCATTCACTCCTATCATCATCATTGTCACCAATATCATCATCATAGGGGCTTTTTCTCTTTGTGGTTGTGTGCTCAGCGTGGAGATGATTGAGGCTGCCCGGAACAAGCTGCGAATCCGCGCTTGCTACGTCATGATCGGGATCACCGTTGTGGGCTGCCTCCTGATGGTGATCTCTGGCAAGAAGGTAACCAGATACCATCACACAACCACCACCACACAACCACCACTACTACCACCACCATCCCAGTCGCGGGCTGTGTCGTCATGGTGGTCTCTGGCAAGAGGGTAACCAGATACCGCCACCGCCGCCACCACCACCACCACATGACCATCAATAACCCAACCACCTTTGCACTCCATGGTTCCGGTAAAGTCTACGCGGCAGTATGGGACATTTGTGTGTGGCGTGAGACATTTGTGTTTGTGTGTGTGGTGTGGTGTGGGAATGCAGGCGGCTAAGAGAAACGAGTCTCTGAGTGGCTGGAACCTGGATAAAAAGGCTCAGCTCAAGGATGAGGCACAGAAGGAAAGCGCGGAGGCCATGAAGGCGGCATGAGGAGGAGGAGCGTATGGGGGGGCGCACGCAGACATGGAGAGAGATGAGCCGGAGATGACCCCGAGACTCACTCAGAGACGTGCTGGGATACTCACTCGGAGACTCCACAAAGACTCGCACAGAGACCCAGATTCACTCGGGGACTCGCTCAGACTTGGAGACCCACGGATTCGAACAGAAACCGGTCTCCGAATGAATCTAATCCCAAGATCTCAGCAGTGCAGACTGGTGTCTTGGACACGGCCATTATGACCCCACAGTGGCTAGGAGATGTTAACTACATCGCCTGGTACGCAGGAGCTCTCGCGGGGTTCCATCCCGGACCCCGACTGATGGCCTCGCTGCTCTACATTTGGAGTTTGCATGGCTCTCTCTCGCCCCCCTCTGTGGCACGTGGACTTGCCACACCAAGCAGTGGAGCGAGCCTGCCGTCTGTCTCTCTCCGTGTCAGCCTTTCCTTCTAAGCCGTGGGGGTAGCTTGGAGGTGAGCTTTGCCTCACCCGGCCACAACAGTCAGCCCCCGGCTATGACCCCTGGCCCCGACCCCCTTGCCTTGTAACCCCAACCCGTAACATGGACCCCCAACTCTGAGCCCTGACTCTCTCAAACCCTGACCTCTAACCCCGAGCCCTGACCTCTAGCCAAGCACTCTGCAAGGGAGGGGCTGTGCGCGTTATTTGGTCGTCGTCACTGCTGCTGCTACTGCAGCATTGTAATCTTTTGGGATTCTAAATGATAATTATTATATAATGTTACTATAACGTTATTATTATTAAACGGAATTGTTTCCTTGCCACCCCATCTGTCTCTCTCATTTACAAACCCCTGCAGTCTCCTACCAGCCACCTTTCCCACCCCAGTTTAACGCGTCGGCTTTCGCAAACCAATAACATCCATTAGCGGTTTTTTGGGTTAGATGGCGTAAATGTCGTTAAAACCCGCCACCACCCAACACAGCCAACTAGTAAGGGCTGTGACGTAAACAGAACGTGGCAATCCGTCACTGGTACAGCACATCGGTGTGTTGGAGCCAAGCCACAACATGTGCAATCCGAGTACGACGTTTCGACCAGTAATTACAACACCTTCCACCCCGCGTCACACCGCTCTGTCTTCGTGGTCTTCCACTCCACGTAACACCAGTGGATAGCGTAGTGGGTAGTATAGTTTTGAGTGTATAATGCAGAGTTTTCTCGTGGGTAGTGTAGTTTATATCAATGTATAGTGTAGTGTATAGTGTAATATGTTGAGTGTATTGGAGTGTACAGGGACATCCCCCCCCACCCCCCCGGGGTTAAGGAAAGATCCGGAACCAGAATTTTCTGCATTCCCCCCCCTTCCCGAAAAATCAAGATAGAATCCCTTCGCCACGAACAGTCGGTGCCTCCCCTACCACCTGACGACTCGGTTTTCGTTTTGTCTCGGTACTGCGTCTGTTTAATCGCTGAACATGACGCTCTGCCTAGGCCTGCCCGTGAGGCTAGGCCTAGGCTCGTCCGCTAGGCAAGGCCTAGGCTCGTCCGTTAGGCTAGGCCTAGGCTCGTCCTTTGGGCAAGGCCTAGGCTCGTCCATTAGGCTAGGCCTAGGCTCGTCCATTAGGCAAGGCCTAGGCTCCTCCGTTGGGCAAGGCCTAGGCTCGTCCGCTAGGCAAGGCCTAGGCTTGTCCGTTGGGCAAGGCCTAGGCTCGTCCGTTAGGCTAGGCCTAGGCTCGTCCGTTAGGCAAGGCCTAGGCTCGTCCATTAGGCTAGGCCTAGGCTCGTCCGTTAGGCAAGGCCTAGGCTCCTCCGTTGGGCAAGGCCTAGTGCTCGTCTGTTAGGCAAGGCCTAGGCTTGGGTGCCAGTGCGGTGTGAATGTGGTCTCGGTGCGGTGCCAGTGCGGTGTGAATGTGGTGTCGGTGCGGTGTCAGTGCGGTGTGAATGTGGTGTCGGTGCGGTGTCAGTGCGAGTGCCACTGAGGTGGGCTCCATGTGAGCGGGGGCTCCACGCGTGCCACACGGATGGATTCGCGAGGGAAGCGACGCTCGTAGAGGCTCAGCAGCTCCTGCAGGGCCCTCTCCTCCAGCTACACACAGATACACACGCACACACATCGAGACAGACACATACAAAGATCCCCCGTATAGCCTTAACAGGCTGTAGGGGCAAGTGCTGTCACCTATTAAGGCCGGAATGGTACACGAGGGGGTGGGTGGCCAGCACCACGCCCGACCGCCTTTGTCTCCCCAGTGGCAATGTTATCCACCGCACCAGGTACTCATTTGAGGCTGAGTCGACCTAGGGGAGGCCCAGGACCGGTTCAGATAATCGTCACTGGTGTTGTCCGTGAGCGGGAATCGAACGCGGGTCGCCAGGTTCATAGCGCAGCGCGCTAACCACTACACTACCGCTCCCCACACAGACACATACATACACACGCAGACACGCACGCAGACACACAGACACAGGACACATCGACAGAACAAAGACAGAGGTCCCCCATGTAGCCTTAACAGACTGTCGGGGCAAGTGCTGTTAGCGAGCACCACCCCGTGTCTCTCCCCCCCCCCATGTCCCACCTCCCCATCCCGTGTCCCACCCCCGTGTCCCACCCCCGTGTCCCACCTGTATGAGCTCCAGGGGTTTGTCCCGGGTGGAGATCAACGCTCGCTCGGCCCTCAACTCCTCCTCCTGGATGGAGACCAGGGAGTGGACGCGAGGGTGGGGGGCGACGTGGGGGGCGACACGGCCGCTGTCACGGCCGCTGTCTCCCCCACACCACGCGGGGGCGGCCGTGGTGGTGGTGGTGGTGGGAAGAGGAGGAGGAGGTGGTGGTGCTGGTGGTGGTGGAGGAGCGGCGGCCTCGTTGTCCGACTGCTCCTGTCTCATGACGTCTCGCAGCGACGGGACGCTGTCCGGAGACACGGGGACAGACCTGGGGGGTATGGGGGGGGTGGGGGAGACACACGGAGAAGAGGTGCAGGGAGTGGGTGTGAGACCAGGGGTGGATGAGTGTGTGTGGGTGATGCATCCATGGAGGGATGCAGGCAAAGCCGATGGGTCAGACGCCTTCTATGACCTCCTGTCACAGGTGCTGGCTAAAGTGACCCCTCGGGGTAGAGTCATCTTGTTGGGTGACTTCAATGCCCGGAGTCGGTCATGATGCTGGCACCTGGTCTGGAGTGATTTGAGGGCATGGGTCAGATCAGCTCAATAACAACGACAGGAGGCTGCTAGATTTTTGTGCAGCCCATGGGCTTGTAATTACCAACATGCTGTTCCGGCATTGGCGCATCCACACCACATCATGGATGCATGCCGGGTCCAAGCAAGAACATCTGCTGGACTACATAGTGACGGAACAGCGGATCTGGGCCCATGTCCTTGACACCAGGACCTACCGTGGAGCTGATCTGCCCACTGACCATCGACTTGTCATCAGTAAGATGCGCCTGCCATTCTTCCACTCCGGTGGTGGGTGTACACCCAGGACCCCATTCCAACCTAAGGTGGCCTGGTCTCAGCTAGCTGATGAAAGTTGCAAGCAAGAATTTCATCATCGCTTGCTGCTGGGGTTGGCACTCCTGATGTAGAGGGTAAATGGGCGAGGTTTAGGACTGGCTCATGCAGCTGCAATGGCTGCTTTGGGTACATGGTCCAGACCTCCCCAGAGACCCTGGCTGACAGAGGAGGTGTTCAGGATGGTAGAGAAAAAGCGACAGGCCCACTGTCATCGGCTACAGAATCCCACGTCAGAGAATGAGGAGGCTTACCGCAGCCTTCGCTCGGAGGTTCGGAGAGCCGTGAGGCGCTGCAAGGATGGGTGGTGGTCGCGGGTTGCTGAGAAGATTGAGTCTGCCTAAGTGGCCCGTGATCACAAATCTATTTAACTCCATCAAAAAAGTAACCTGCAGCGCCACACCTATTACATCATTAGGGGAAAAAACAGTGATCCAATCTCCGACCCCCAGGAACAGGTTTGCAGGTTTGCTGAGCATTTCTGTGAGGTCCTGGGGGAGGGGAAATCCCTCAGCCAGGTATACATCGTGGGACAAAGTGAGGATGACCCTGCTGAGGCTGCGGTGCCTCAAATATTGGAGGAGGACGTCACCCCCTGTGAGTGGCTGGCTGAGGTGCCATCTGTTGAGGAAGTACTGAAGGCGATCCGGAGACCAGGAAAGGCACCGGGCAGAGATGATCTCCCAAGCAAAATGCTGAGGGGGGGTGGCGTTTGTGCACAGACTGCCCAACATGACATCATAACAACAGTCTGGGCCACTGGACGGGTTCCACAGGATTGGAAGGGTGCCCTGGTGGTCCCCCTCTATAAGAAGGGGGACCGCACAGACTAACAACTACAGGGGCATCTCACTCCTCAGTGTGCCGGGAAAGGTCTTGACCCTCTGCTCACGATCATTAACGACCATGATGGTGAGCGGGCCCAGGTAAAACTACGTGGCCGGGAATCAGAGCCATTCCCTGTTCACCTTGAGGTGCGACAGGGATGTTCTCTGGCTCCCACATTATTTAACATCTATTTTGACCACGTAGTTTGTGAAGCCTTCAATAGCTGTACCGGAGGAATTTCCATTTGGTACAGATACAATGTGAGGCTGATCGATTCCCGGGTGTGGTAAAGGGATGGCTCCCTATTGCTCAACCACGTTATGTATGCCGATGATCCAGTAATTGCTGTTCACTCAGAGGAGGAGTTGGAGACGCTGCTGCTGAGACTGGAACTTGCCACCAAGAGATGGGGCCTTACCATCAGCCCCACCGAAACTAAGCACCTGCCTGGGTATTTTGTACCATCAGACACTCCACCCCCACAACTCCCAATTGGTGATAGGGCAGTTGTGGAGATAGTGGAGAGTTTCCCATACCTTGGCAGTGTGCTCATGACCAGCTCCGGTTTAACAGCAGAGGTCTCACTCCAAATCAGTCGAGCGGCATTATCTTTTCATCGGTTGCGTAACACTGTGTGGAAGCTACCTGGTCTATCACTCCGCACGAAGCTTCGGGTCTCCTCGGCCATGGTCATTCCCTCCCTTCTCTACGCTTGCGAAACGTGGACCCCCCTAATGGAACATCTTCGCCAGTTAGAAACATTCAGGCTGGCCTGCCTACGATCAATCCTGGGTTTAAACAGGCTGGATTGTGTGAGGAGCTCACAAATCCTTGAAATGTCTGGACAAAGTCCCATCGGTGAGCTCCTCCGGCAGCCAAGGCTGCGTTGGTTGGGTCACGTAGCCCGTATGCCCAGCCACCGCATGCCGAAACAGCTTTTGTTCAGCCGGATCGAGGGGGCTAAACGGGCGCGGCACGGGCTAGAGACGAGATGGAGTGACGTGGTACAGGAGGACGTGGAGCTGTGTGGACTTGCCGATGACCGGTACCAGCGGTGTCAAGATCGGCCTCTGTGGAGGAGGAGGCTTGTGAAGGACGTTGCTGCTGGGCAGTTGGAGGCAGTCGCTCACAACAACGAGCGGAGCGCCGGGTGGCTAAAGCACAGCAAGTTGGCACAGTAGGAGGCACAGGTGGTGCATCAGCCACTCATCTCAGTCGACCCGTGGCACCTGGGTCTGCCCCGTGACCTCCTGCCAGCGGGCGTTCGACACTTCACGTGGCCTGGCACAAGCGTCGTGGTGACGTCACCGCCACTTAGTGGCGAATGGCGGTTGTTGTTGATGATGTTGCTTTCCATGATGATGGCAGTGATGATGATGACATTGTCCATGATGATGGTGATGATGGCGGTGATGGTGATGATGGCGGTGATGGTGATGATGGCGGTGATGGTGCTGCCGGTACCATCCTCGGAACGCTCGTGGCTCTGTGTCCCCCTTGTCCGACCCCTCCTTGTCCACGGAGTCTCGTGGAGACAAAGCTGCCATCTTGCGCTGCTTCTGAGACAGCTTCCCCACACGGACAGGCCTGGGGAGACGCGGGGGGGTGAGACACGGGGGGGGTGTGAGACACGGGGGGGTGAGACACATGGGGGGGGGTGACACACGGGGGGGGTGACACACGGGGGGGGTGACACACGGGGGGGGGGGGTGACACACGGGGTGACGCGTGAGTGGTGGAGGGTGGAGGGGTCTCCCTCCGTGCTGCTCACCGCGTGCTGCGTGGAGCTCCCTGGCGTCTGCTCTGAGCGCCGCTCTCCACACGCAGGACGTGACGCAGCTCCAGCACCGGCACCCTGGACACAACAACAACCAACAACAACAATCAACCAACAAGAACATCACCACTGTCACCACCACTACCATCACCACTGTCACCACCACTACCATCACCACTGTCACCACCACTACCATCACCGCTGTCACCACCACTACCATCACCGTCACCACAAACCACCACTACCGTCACCACCACCGTCACCACCACCACTGTCACCACCACTACCATCACCACTGTCACCACCACTACCATCACCGTCACCACAAACCACCACTACCATCACCACTATCACCACCACTGTCACCACCACTGTCACCACCACTACCATCACCACTGTCACCACCACTACCATCACCGTCACCACAAACCACCACTACCGTCACCACCACCGTCACCACCACTACCATCACCACCACCGCCATTCACCACCACCGCCATCACCATGCTGTGTGTACCGTGGCTCCGTGTCGCTCTCTGTTGCCCCCCACACCGAGGTGGTGGTGGTGGCGACGGTGGCAGCACCACCCTTGGAGCCGTCCGGCCCCATCTCCTCCTCTGCCTCCTCCTCCTCCCCCGCCACCACCCCCCCTCCTCCTCCTGCCAGCGAGGAGGAGCCAGGCCGGGGTTTGCCGGGGCCGCTGCCGGCGGTGGTGGCCGACGATCGGCAAGGCCCGGCGGCTGCCCCGGTGGGGGTGGTGGCTGTGACGATACGGAGAGCAGCGGGGGCATCGATGGCATGAGAGGCATTGATCGTAGCAGCGGGGGCACTGATCGTAGCAGCGGGGGCACTGATCGTAGCAGCGGGGGCACTGATCGTAGCAGAGGGGGCATTGATAGCAGTGCTGGTGCTGCTGCTGTTGTTGTGGCTGTTGTTGTTGTTGTGGCTGTTGTTGTTGTCGGGGTCCCCCGGAGTGCCCCCCCCTCCACCCCCTCCCCCACTGCGGAGTCGGCGGCGAGGAGCTCGACTCCGCACCCTGGCCACGGCCTCCCTGCAGCCAGACACAGACAAAGATCCCCGTGTAGCCTGCCACAGAATGTTGGGGCAAGTGCTGTTAGCAACGAGTGGCAGCAGCAACAGCAGCGCCTCTGAAGGCTACCGGCACTGTGGCACACACAGAGGGGGTGGGTGGACAGCACCACCACGCCCGGCCGCCTTTGTCTCCCCGGTGCTAGCGATGTTTACTGCTACACTACACACCGCGACACCGGGTAGCTCATTTGAGGCTGAGTCGACCTAGGGGAGGCCCAGGACCGGTTCGGCTAATCGCTGTCACTGATGGTGGCCGTGAGTGGGAATCAAACTCGGGTCGCCGGGTTTATCGCGCAGCGTAGCGCTAACCACCACTACACTACTGCTCCCCACACACACAGACAAGCCAAAGATCCCCCGTATAGCCTGTAACAGACTGTAGGGGCAAGTGCTGTTAGCGAGCACCGCCTATGAAGGCCGGCACGGCACACGAGGGGGTGGGTGGCCAGCACCACGCCCGGCCGCCTTTGTCTCTCCACTGCTAGCGATGTTTACTACGCCACACCAGCTACTCATTTGAGGCTGAGTCGACCTAGGGGAGGCCCAGGACCAGTTCAGATCACAGTGGTCTACAATATTTTAGACGTCGTCTGCTTCAGGGATGAAATGTGCTTGTTTATTACGGATTTTGATGTGCCGAATTCAAATATGACAATGAAAACAACGGATTGGCTCCTGTTCCTAAGATAATTAAGTTTTTACGTCTTAGTACATTGTGCAGACAGTAGAGTTTTACTCATATGGTTGCTTTACACGATAACATGTCACCTGTCCCGTTCCTGTAACACTTAAACAATCATCAAAAGGGTGATATAGATATAAAATGTATTATGAAACAAAAGGCAAAACACCATGATGTATATATAAGGACATAGTCTCGTCCTGATTCAGTGTCTACTCGGCGCTTCTTGGCTCGTCTCTTGCGTTCATTAAATGGAGCATCTCGTAACACTGTCCAGCCATAGCCTGCAAGCATCCATGGGCTCCATCTGCCCCGAGAGCGATTCTCCATCGTCGCAATGTCCTGGTGACATCGCTCCTCATGCTCGCCACGCTCGCCACGCTCCGTGGCTCGGTGGGGAAAGATCTCGATCAGAGTGCAAAAAATTCATCTTTAGTGACATGCTGCAACCAAGGCTTTTGTTTGGCTTCAGGAGGTTTTCACCGACTCCCTGAAGTTGCCTGCCTCTTGTTGTTTCCGAGAAAATCTGTTGCCACTCACTGGAAGGCGTTCAAATGCATCGTCACGAAGAAGTTCACGAATCTGAGGACCAGCAACGACTCCCTCCTTTATCTCAGCTTCACTTAAACTTGGACATTTTCCACGGAGGTACTTGAAAGCTGCTTGTGTTTTGTCCATGGCTTTGACAAAGTACTTCATCAGACACAGCTTGATGTGCAAGGGTGGTAACAAAATCTTCCTCGATTCAACAAGTGGTGGATGCTGAACACGTTTCCTCCCAGGCTCCAACGACTGTCTGAGTGGCCAATCTATCTTGATGTAGTGGGAATCTCTCGCGCGACTTTCCAATTCGCAGAGAAAGCAGCGGTACTTTGTGTATCCAGTCTGCAGATCAAGCAAGAGATCAACAACCTTCAAATCGCCACAAAACTGCCACTGATGTTGGTCATAGTCGATGCGCCTCAAAAGTTGTTTCATGCTGTCACAGGTTTCCTTCATATGGACTGCATGACCAACTTTTATTGATGGCACAACATTGCCATTATGCAGCAAAACAACTTCAAGAATCATCTTTGATGAATCAATGAACAGTCTCCACTCATCTGGATCATGAACGATGTTGAGGGTTGCCATCGCACCATCGACGTTTGTCGCAGGCCACAAGATCACCTTCCATGAAGAAGAATAGGGACAAGATCCTTTTGACGGTCACGGAACATGGAAACCCTCACATCACCGGCCAGGAGATTCCACTGCTGCAGTCTGGAGCCCAACAGCTCTGCCTCCTTACTCTTGGATAGTTCCAAATCCTTGACGAAGTCTTTCAGTTTACCTTGTGGTGGTATGAGGTGGTTCTCACAGGAGGAGGATGGGTGAGAATCTGGGTCATGTGACCTTGATGGTTCAGGACCAGAAGTGTCATCGTCTTCCTCGTCTGACGCAAGCGAGAATGATCCTGGTGCATCAGGAACCGGCAGTCCATCTCCGTGGGGTACTGGGCGTTTAGCCGATTGAATGTTTGGATAATGCACAGTCCACTTTGACCTCTTCTTTGACACACCTTTCCCAACTCGAGGCGCCAAGCAGAAGTAACAATTGCTGATGTGATCTGTTGGCTCTCTCCAAATCATCGGCGCTACAAAAGGCATAGATTTCATTTTCCTGTACTCTTTGGATCTTTCGGTAAAGTGACGGAGGTAGAAAAATAATAGATCACGACGTTTCTATCGCAACACACAGCAATCATCATCATGAGGTGGGACAACCACAGCAAGAAGAAACTGCTGAGGTAGGCGTTCAACCATTGGCCAAGAATCGCTGCACAAGTGTTGCAGCATATGTGTGGGGCACACTTGCAGCCAAAATAAAGGTGATAGGCTTTCTTAACCGTAGTGGTTATACTGCACTTGTGCGATGCAAAAAGTCACTTCACAAACAGCAGAAGTTTCGATTTAAAGCTTTCGTGACTGCAGGGATTCATATTATTGGTTCTTTCGGTAAAGTCACGTAGAAGGGAAATAATAAAATAAAAATATTACATTTGCATTTGTCATCAATATGATAAATTATTCTGTTGATATGTAAACTCCTTTGTTTAGGCTCTCTCCTCCTCCCACCCAGCTTAAACGACGCTGCCAAGCTTAGCAGTGTTCATTAAGACGCCGTCTTACCGACAGCTCTGTTTCTTCACCTGAGGACGGCTGCTTGCGTTGTGGCCGGCTGCTTGCGTTGTGGCCGAAACGTCGTGAGAATTTAATATTATATTTTATTATTTCCTGTCTACGTGACCTTACCGAAAGAACCAAGAATAGCAGAAGTTACCCCCGCTTTGTTCACACAAGTACGAGGCATCTCTGCTCACTTTGCCCAAGCATAAATGTGTCCCTTTGCAAAATCAAACACTGACAACTAAGAGAGCACGACACTGTATGATTTATAGAGCTGATATAGGGCAATTAGTTCAGCAGAGGGATGTAAGCCTCGCTTTGATTGCATCATCCATGGCTTCTAGGAAGAGCATGACGCAATTAATATAATGTGTGATGCAATATCAGGTTCAGATTGCATCATTCATTGTTTTGCTTAAAAAGCAAGTGCTGTCCAAACCCTGTCGTAGATTTATTCAAAGCACCAGCCAAAGATGTATTTTAGTCATTTCTGGTTTAAATTGAGATCCCTTCCTTTTATGACTCACTTATCCTCTGCCATTCCTAAGTCAAAGCTCGTATATAGAGACGCAGTAGCGTCTCTTGAACACTGGAAACAATCAACAATTTTGAGCATAATTTTCATTCTCAGTGACACAGAATTAGTAAAGTTGGACCACGTTTATTTCAGAAGCTCTTAGGCTGTAGGCCAGCGGAATCGCTGTCACCGGCGATGGCCGTGAGCGGGGATCGAACTCCGGTCGCTGGGTTCGTAGCGCTAACCGCTACACCACCACTCCCCACAGACACACACAGACACAGATAGAGAGACACACACAGGCACAAAGACAAAGATCCCCCACGTAGCCTGTAACAGACTGTTGGGGCAAGTGTTGTTAGCGAGCAGCAGCAGCACCTGTGAAAGCTGCTATTCCTGCTGTTGATGATGATGACGATGCTACTCCTGCTGTTGATGATGATATTGCTGATGCTGCTGCTGCTGATGATGTTGTTAATGCTTCTGATGATGACGGTGACGATGATGACGACGTTGCTGATGCTGACGACGAAGCTGATGACTGATGATGACGACGACGACGACGACGATGACGTCCGGTCACCTGTCTGCGCTCATCTCCGCTCCTCCAACGTCGTCATCGTCGTCATCATCGTCGCTGTCCCAACACTCCCCCCGATCCTCGCGAGCGACGAGGTGGAGCAGCGAGAGGAGCGAGGGGTCCACCTCCTCCACCTCCTCCACCCGCGTCACGGCGCAGCTGTGGCGGCGACGGCGACGGTGGCGCATTGCTGGCACCTGCACAGTAGTAGTAGCACACATCAGTAGTAGTAGTACACATCAGTAGTAGTAGTACACATCAGTAGTAGTAGTAGTACACATCAGTAGTAGTAGTACATCAGTATTAGTAGTAGTAGTACACATCAGTAGTAGTAGTAGTAGTACACATCAGTAGTAGTAGTAGTACACATCAGTAGTAGTAGTACACATCAGTAGTAGCAGCACACATCAGTTGTAGTAGTACACATCAGTAGTAGTAGCACACATCAGTAGTAGTAGTACACATCAGTAGTAGTAGTAGTAGTACACATCAGTAGTAGTAGTAGTACACATCAGTAGTAATAGTAGTACACATCAGTAGTAGTACACATCAGTAGTAGTACACATCAGTAGTAGTAGTACACATCAGTAGTAGTAGTAGTACACATCAGTAGTAGTAGTACACATCAGTAGTAGCAGCACACATCAGTTGTAGTAGCAGCACACATCAGTTGTAGTAGTACACATCAGTTGTAGTAGTACACATCAGTAGTAGTAGCACACATCAGTAGTAGTAGTACACATCAGTAGTAGTAGTAGTACATCAGTAGTAGTAGTAGTACACATCAGTAGTAGTAGTACACATCAGTAGTAGTACATCAGTAGTAGTAGTACACATCAGTAGTAGTAGTACACAGTAGTAGTAGTACACATCAGTAGTAGTAGTACACATCAGTAGTAGTAGCACACATCAGTAGTAGTAGTACACATCAGTAGTAGTAGCACACATCAGTAGTAGTACACATCAGTAGTAGTAGTAGTAGCAGCACACATCAGTAGTAGTAGCACACATCAGTAGTAGTACATCAGTAGTAGCACATCAGTAGTAGTAGCACATGAGTAGTAGTAGCACATCAGTAGTAGTAGCACATCAGTAGTAGTAGCACATCAGTAGTAGTAGTACACATCAGTAGTAGTAGTAGCACACATCAGTAGTAGTACATCAGTAGTAGCACATCAGTAGTAGTAGTAGCACATGAGTAGTAGTAGCACATCAGTAGTAGTACACATCAGTAGTAGTACACATCAGTAGTAGTACACATCAGTAGTAGTAGCACACATCAGTAGTAGCACATCAGTAGTAGTAATACATCAGTAGTAGTAGCACATCAGTAGTAGTAGCACATCAGTAGTAGTACACATCAGTAGTAGTACACATCAGTAGTAGTAGCACATCAGTAGTAGTAGTAGCACATCAGTAGTAGTAGTAGCACATCAGTAGTAGTAGCACACATCAGTAGTAGTAGCACACATCAGTAGTAGTACATCAGTAGTAGCACATCAGTAGTAGCACATCAGTAGTAGTAGCACATCAGTAGTAGTAGCATACATCAGTAGCATACAGCAGTAGTAGTAGCACATCAGCAGTAGTAGCACATTAGTAGTACAGTAGTAGTAGTACACAGCATTAGCACATCAGTAGCATACATCAGTAGTAGTAGCACATCAGTAGCATACAGCAGTAGTAGTATATAGTAGCACACGTAGTAGTGCCGTAGTAGTAGTATACAGTAGCAGAACACAGTAGTATACAGTAGCATACAGCAGTATTATACAGTAGTAATGTATAGTAGTATACAGTAGTAGTCTACAGTAGTATACAGTAGTAGTGTACAGTAGCACGCATTGGTGTACAGTAGCGTACAGTAGCATACAGTGGTATACAGTGGCAGTGTATGGTAGTATACAGTAGTAGTGTGCAGTAGCAGTGTACAGTAGTCGTGTGCAGTAGTGTACAGTAGTATACAGTAGTAGTATGTAGTAGTATACCATAGTAGTGTACAGCAGTATACAGTAGTAGTGTACAGTAGTTGTGTGCAGTAGTATACAGTAGTAGTGTGCAGGGGATGGTGTTCTTTGGGTCATAGGCAGCATTCCTCCTCCAAACACAGCGAGTTGAGTTGATGCCAAAGAGCTCCATTTTGGTCTCATCTGACCACAACACTTTCACCCAGTTGTCCTCCGAATCATTCAGATGTTCGCTGGCAAACTTCAGACGGGAATGTATATGTGCTTTCTTGAGCAGGAGGACCTTGCGGGCACTGCAGGATTTCAGTCCTTCACGGCATAGTGTGTTACCAATTGTTTTCTTGGTGACTATGGTCCCAGCTGCCTTGAGATCATTGACAAGATCCTCCTGTGTAGTTCTGGGCTGATCCCTCACCGTTCTCATGATCATTGCAACTGCACGAGGTGAGATCTTGCATGGAGCCCCAGGCCGAGGGAGATTGACAGTTCTTTTGTGTTTCTTCCATTTGCGAATAATCGCACCAACTGTTGTCACCTTCTCACCAAGCTGCTTGGCAATGGTCTTGTAGCCCATTCCAGCCTTGTGTAGGTCTACAATCTTGTCCCTGACATCCTTGGAGAGCTCTTTGGTCTTGGCCATGGTGGAGAGTTTGGAATCTGATTGATTGATTGCATCTGTGGACAGGTGTCTTTTATACAGGTAACGAGCTGAGATTAGGAGCACACTCTTAAAGTGAGTGCTCCTAATTGAGAGGGGGTCAAATACTTATTTCCCTCATTAAAATGCAAATCAATTTATAACATTTTTGACATGCGTTTTCCTGGATTTTGTTGTTGTTATTCTGTCTCTCACTATTCAAATAAACCTACCATTAAAATTGTAGACTCATCATTTCTCTGTCAGTGGGCAAACGTACAAAATCAGCAGGGGATCAAATACTTTTTTCCCTCACTGTACAGTAGTAGTGTACAGTAGTAGTGTACAGTAGTATACAGTAGTAGTGTACAGTAGTAGTCTACCCTTCTCACCGTGTCTCTGTAGGTCTGTGCCACAGCCTGGAGGTTGCCTTCAGTGAGAATGTCCAGGGACCTGCAGAGCACCGCACAGAGCACCACACAGAGCACCGCCAGCACCATCAGCAGCAGTAGCAGCAGCCATGATGGTGGCGACGGTGGTGATGGTGGTGATGGTGACGACGGTGGTGATGGTGGTGATGGTGGCCGTGATGGTGGCGGTGATGGTGGCGGTAATAGCGGTGATGGTGGTGGTAATGGCGGTGACGATGATGGTAGTGATCGTGGTGATGGTGGTGGTGATGGTAATGATGATGGTGGTGGTGGTGGTGATGGTGGCGACGGTAGTGATGATGGTGGTGGTGGTGGCGACGGTAGTGATGATGGTAACGATGGTGGCGGTGGTGATGGTGGTGAAGCTGACGACGATGGTGATGGTGACGACGATGGTGATGGTGACGACGGTGGTGATGGTGACGACGGTGGTGATGGTGACGACGGTGGTGATGGTGACGACGATGGTGATGGTGATGACGATGGTGATGGTGACGACGATGGTGATCGTGACGCTGGTGAGGATGACAATGGTGGTGATAGTGGTGATGATGTCCGTCTCCGTGTGTTGCCCAAGTGCGGACCGTGTCTCACCGCGTCTCACCGCGTGTCTCCGTGTTTGTCCGTGTCTCACCGTCTCACCGCGTGTCTCCGTGTTTGTCCGCGTCTCACCGTGTCTCCAGGAGGATGGGCAGGTTGTGGCAGATGAAGTGGAGGCAGGAGACGCGGAGACACGGAGACAGCACCACAGCGGTCAGCTCCAGCAGCTCACAGACATTGAGCAGCGTCACTGAGACACACGGTGAGACACACGGTGAGACACACGGTGAGACACACACGGTGAGACACACGGGGAGACACACACGGTGAGACACACACGGAAAGACACACAGGGAGACACACACGGGGAGACACACACGGTGATACACACGGGGAGACACACGGGGAGACACGCATGGGGAGACACACACGGGGAGACACGGAGACACACACGGTGAGACACACGGGGAGACACGGGTGTCTCCGCGTGTGAAGACACATTCCTCTGACCCGGTGGCTAACTAAAGGACTCACGCTCACTAGAGACTGTGAATCTCAAGGGTGGTTAACTAAAGGACTCACTACAGACTGTGAATCTCAAGGGTGGTTAACTAAAGAACTCACTAGAGATGGTGAATGTCAAGGGTGGTTAACTAAAGGACTCACTAGAGACTGTGAATCTCAAGGGTGGTTAACTCAAGGACTCACTAGAGACTGTGAATATCAAGGGTGGTTAACTAAAGGACTCACGCTCACTAGAGATGGTGCATCTCAAGGGTGGTTAACTAAGGATTCACTAGGGACTGTGAATCTCAAGGGTGGTTAACTAAAGGACTCACTAGAGACGGTGAATCTCAAGGGTGGTTAACTCAAGGACTCACGCTCACTAGAGACGGTGAATCTCAAGGGTGGTTAACTAAAGGACTCACTACAGACGGTGAATCTCAAGGGTGGTTAACTAAAGGACTCACTACAGACTGAATCTCAAGGGTGGTTAACTAAAGGACTCACTAGAGATGGTGAATCTCAAGGGTGGCTAACTAAAGGACTCACTAGAGACTGTGAATCTCAAGGGTGGTTAACTAAAGGACTCACTAGAGACTGTGAATCTCAAGGGTGGTTAACTAAAGGACTCACGCTCACTACAGACAGTGAATCTCAAGGGTGGTTAACTCAAGGACTCACTAGAGACGGTGAATCTCAAGGGTGGTTAACTAAAGGACTCACTACAGACTGTGAATCTCAAGGGTGGTTAACTAAAGGACTCACTAGAGATGGTGAATCTCAAGGGTGGTTAACTAAAGGACTCACTAGAGACTGTGAATCTCAAGGGTGGTTAACTAAAGGACTCACGAGAGACTGTGAATCTCAAGGGTGGTTAACTAAAGGACTCACTAGAGACTGTGAATCTCAAGGGTGGTTAACTAAAGGACTCACTAGAGACTGTGAATCTCAAGGGTGGTTAACTAAAGGACTCACTAGAGACTGTGAATCTCAAGGGTGGTTAACTAAAGGACTCACTAGAGATGGTGAATCTCAAGGGGGTTAACTAAAGGACTCACTACAGACGGTGAATCTCAAGGGTGGCTAACTAAAGGACTCACTAGAGACTGAATCTCAAGGGTGGTTAACAAAAGGACTCACTAGAGACGGTGAATCTCAAGGGTGGTTAACTAAAGGACTCACTAGAGACTGTGAATCTCAAGGGTGGTTAACTAGAGGACTCACTAGAGATTGTGAATCTCAAGGGTGGTTAACTAAAGGACTCACGCTCACTAGAGACTGTGAATCTCAAGGGTGGTTAACTAAAGGACTCACTAGAGACGGTGAATCTCAAGGGTGGTTAACTCAAGGACTCACGCTCACTAGAGACGGTGAATCTCAAGGGTGGTTAACTAAAGGACTCACTAGGGACTGTGAATCTCAAGGGTGGTTAACTAAAGGACTCAGTAGAGATGGTGAATCTCAAGAGTGGTTAACTAAAGGACTCACTAGGGACTGTGAATCTCAAGGGTGGTTAACTAAAGGACTCACTAGAGACGGTGAATCTCAAGAGTGGTTAACTAAAGGACTCACTAGAGACTGTGAATCTCAAGGGTGGTTAACTAAAGGACTCACTCACTAGAGACTGTGAATCTCAAGGGTGGTTAACTCAAGGACTCAAGAGAGACTGTGAATCTCAAGGGTGGTTAACTAAAGGGCTCACGCTCACTAGAGACAGTGAATCTCAAGGGTGGTTAACTAAAGGACTCACTACAGACGGTGAATCTCAAGGGGGTTAACTAAAGGACTCACTAGAGACTGTGAATCCCAAGGGTGGTTAACTAAAGGACTCACGCTCACTAGAGACGGTGAATCTCAAGGGTGGTTAACTAAAGGACTCACTAGAGATGGTGAATCTCAAGGGGGTTAACTAAAGGACTCACTAGAGACGGTGAATCTTAAGGGTGGTTAACTCAAGGACTCACTAGAGACTGTGAATCTCAAGGTTGGTTAACTAAAGGACGCACTCACTAGAGACGGTGAATCTCAAGGTTGGTTAACTAAAGGACGCACTCACTAGAGACTGTGAATCTCAAGGGTGGTTAACTCAAGGACTCACTAGAGATGGTGTATCTCAAGGATGGTTAACTAAAGGACTCACTAGAGACTGTGAATCTCAAGGGTGGTTAACTCAAGGACTCACGCTCACTAGAGACAGTGAATCTCAAGGGTGGTTAACTCAAGGACTCACTAGAGACTGTGAATCTCAAGGGTGGTTAACTCAAGGACTCACGTGTTCGTGACAAGGAATCTTCGCACTTTCGCTTGAGGCGGGCGATGAGGAGCTGGTCGGCAACGAGGAGAAGACGACTCACAAACTCGACGCTCTCGCCTCCTGCACACCGCCGTCATCATCGTCAACATCATCAACATCGTCATCAACATCATCATCGTCGTCATCATCGTCATCATCAACGTCATCATCATCATCAACATCATCATCGTCATCAACAACAACGTCATCATCAACATCATCATCAACATCGTCGTCATCAACAACGTCATCAGCATCATCATCATTATCGTCATCATCATCAGCGTCATCATCAACATCATCGTCATCATCAACGTCATCATCAACATTGTCATCAACAACCTCAACGTCGTCATCAACAATGTCATCAGCGTTATCATCAACATCATCATCATCATCGTCTTCATCATCATCATCATCATCAGCGTCATCATCAACATTGTCGTCGTCAACGTCATCAACGTCATCAGCGTCATCAACAACATCATCATCGTCATCATCAACATCGTCGTCATCAACAACAACGTCATCAGCGTCATCAACATCATCATCTCTAGATTTGAAGCTTTCGTGACTGCAAGGATCCATACTCTTTGGTTCTATTCGGTTAAGTCACGTAGGTAAAAATAAAACAACAAAAAATCACGACGTTTCGGCCACAACACAAGTGGCCTTCATCAGGTGAAGGGACTGGACTGTCCAGAGGACAGCGTTGTCCTCCGGACAGTCCAGGACAGCGTTGTCCTCTGGACAGTCCAGTCCCTTCACCTGATGAAGGCCACTTGTGTTGTGGCCGAAACGTCGTGATTTTTTGTTGTTTCATTTTTTACTTACGTGACTTTACCGAATAGAACCAAAGAGTATCATCATCGTCATCATCAACATCGTCGTCATCAACAACAACAACGTCATCAGCGTCATCGTCAACATTGTCGTCAACATTATCGTCATCATCAACACCATCGTCATCATCATAATCAAGATCATCAACCCACAGAGACACCTATAGACACCCACAGAGACCCATACAGACCCACAGAGCCCCATAGACACTCACAGAGACCCATACAGACCCACAGACACCCATAGACACTCACAGAGACCCATACAGACCCACAGAGCCCTATAGACACCCACAGAGACCCATACAGACCCACAGACACCCATAGACACTCACAGAGACCCATACAGACCCACAGAGCCCCATAGACACCCACAGGGACCCATACAGACCCATACAGACCCACAGAGCCCCACAGACACCCACAGAGACCCATATAGACTCACAGAGACCCATAGACACTCACAGAGACTCATACAGACCCACAGAGACCCATACAGACCCACAGAGACCCATACAGACCCACAGAGACCCATAGACACTCACAGAGACCCATACAGACCCACAGAGACCCATACAGACCCACAGAGACCCATAGACACTCACAGAGACCCATACAGACCCACAGAGCCCCATAGACACTCAAAGAGACCCATAGAGACCCACAGAGCCCCATACACCCACAGGGACCCATACAGACCCACAGAGCCCCATAGACACCCACAGAGACCCATACAGACCCACAGAGCCCCATAGACACCCACAGACACCCATACAGACCCACAGAGACCCATAGACACTCACAGAGACCCATACAGACCCAGAGACACCCATAGATACCCACAGGGACCCATACAGACTCAAAGAGACCCATACAGACCCACAGAGCCCCATAGACACTCACAGAGACCCATACAGACCCAGAGACACCCATAGATACCCACAGGGACCCATACAGACCCACAGACACTCACAGAGACCCATACAGACCCACAGAGACCCATACAGACCCACAGAGACCCATAGACACCCATAGAGACCCATGCAGACCCACAGAGCCCCATACAGACCCACAGAGCCCCATAGACACCCACAGAGCCCCATTGATACCTACAGAGACCCATACAGACCCACAGAGACCCATAGACACCCACAGAGACCCATAGACACGCACAGAGACCAATACAGACCCACAGACACCCATAGACACCCATAGACACCCACAGAGCCCCACAGAGACTCACAGAGCCCCACACTAAAACTAAACTAAGTTTATGTCACCAGGTGTAAGACCCCGCTGAGCTACTGTGTAAATATTTTAATGACAGCTCAACCACGTGACTGATATCATCATCACGTAACTGATAGCATCATTATCATCACGTGGTCATTGATAGCAGCAGACAAAGATTCTGAACTCGTGGTGACGTTGATTCTAAATGTGGAGGGAAAAACCGGAGGACCCGGAGAGAAAAATCCACACAGCGACCACCACGGGGAGAGAGACGCAGACTCCAAATACACAGCAGCAGCAGCATCGCCAGGGTCAGGATCGAACCCACGTCCTCACTGTGTACCACCACGGTGGGAGCTGTGTGTGTGTCTCTCACCACAGTGGGAGCTGTGTGTGTGTCTCTCACCACAGTGGGAGCTGTGTGTGTGTCTCTCACCACACGTGGGAGCTGTGTGTGTGTCTCTCTCACTACACGTGGGAGCTGTGTGTGTGTGTCTCTCACCACAGTGGGAGCTGTGTGTGTGTCTCTCACCACAGTGGGAGCTGTGTGTGTGTCTCACCACAGTGGGAGCTGTGTGTGTGTGTCTCTCACCACACGTGGGAGCAGTGTGTGTCTCTCACCACCAGTGGGAGCTGTGTGTGTCTCTCACCACACGTGGGAGCTGTGTGTGTGTCTCTCACCACACGTGGGAGCTGTGTGTGTGTCTCTCACCACACGTGGGAGCTGTGTGTGTGTGTCTCTCACCACAGTGGGAGCTGTGTGTGTGTGTGTCTCTCACCACACGTGGGAGCTGTGTGTGTGTGTCTCTCACCACAGTGGGAGCTGTGTGTGTGTGTGTCTCTCACCACCAGTGGGAGCTGTGTGTGTGTGTGTCTCTCACTACACGTGGGAGCTGTGTGTGTGTCTCTCACCACAGTGGGAGCTGTGTGTGTGTGTCTCTCACCACAGTGGGAGCTGTGTGCGTGTGTCTCTCACCACACGTGGGAGCTGTGTGTGTATGTCTCTCACCATACGTGGGAGCTGTGTGTGTGTGCGTCTCTCACCACACGTGGGAGCTGTGCGTGTCTCTCATCACCAGTGGGAGCTGTGTGTGTGTGTCTCTCACCACCAGTGGGAGCTGTGTGTGTGTGCGTCTCTCACCACCAGTGGGAGCTGTGTGTGTGTGTCTCTCACCACACGTGGGAGCTGTGTGTGTCTCTCACCACACGTGGGAGCTGTGTGTGTGTGTCTCACCACACTTGGGAGCTGTGTGTGTGTCTCTCACCACACGTGGGAGCTGTGTGTGTGTGTCTAACCACACTTGGGAGCTGTGTGTGTGTCTCTCTCACTACACGTGGGAGCTGTGTGTGTGTCTCTCTCACCACAGTGGGAGCTGTGTGTGTGCGTCTCTCACCACACGTGGGAGCTGTGTGTGTGTCTCACCACACTTGGGAGCTGTGTGTGTGTCTCTCTCACTACACGTGGGAGCTGTGTGTGTGTATCTCTCACCACACTTGGGAGCTGTGTGTGTGTCTCTCTCACTACACGTGGGAGCTGTGTGTGTGTGTCTCTCACCACAGTGGGAGCTGTGTGTGTGTGTCTCTCACCACAGTGTGAGCTGTGTGTGTGTGTCTCTCACCACAGTGGGAGCTGTGTGTGTGTGCATCTCTCATCACAGTGGGAGCTGTGTGTCTCTCACCACAGTGGGAGCTGTATGTGTGTGTGTCTCTCACCACAGTGGGAGCTGTGTGTGTGTCTCTCTCACCACAGTGGGAGCTGTGTGTGTGTGTCTCTCACTGCAGTGGGAGCTGTGTGTGTGTGTCTCTCACTACACGTGGGAGCTGTGTGTGTGTGTGTCTCACCACACGTGGGATCTGTGCGTATTTGTCTCTCACCACAGTGGGAGCTGTGTGTGTGTGTCTCTCTCACCACACTTGGGAGCTGTGTGTGTGTCTCTCTCACTACACGTGGGAGCTGTGTGTGTGTGTCTCTCACCACAGTGGGATCTGTGTGTGTTTGTCTCTCACCACAGTGGGAGCTGTGTGTGTGTGTCTCTCACCACACGTGGGAGCTGTGTGTGTGTGTCTCTCACGACACGTGCGAGCTGTGTGTGTGTCTCTCACCACAGTGGGAGCTGTGTGTGTGTGTCTCTCACCACAGTGGGAGCTGTGTGTGTGTCTCTCACCACAGTGGGAGCTGTGTGTGTGTCTCTCACCACAGTGGGAGCTGTGTGTGTGCATCTCTCATCATAGTGGGAGCTGTGTGTGTGCATCTCTCACCACAGTGGGAGCTGTGTGTGTGCATCTCTCACCACAGTGGGAGCTGTGTGTGTGTCTCTCACCACACGTGGGAGCTGTGTGTGTGTGTGTCTCTCACCACAGTGGGAGCTGTGTGTGTGTGTCTCTCACCACAGTGGGAGCTGTGTGTGTGTGTGTGTCTCTCTCACCACAGTGGGAGCTGTGTGTGTGCATCTCTCACCACAGTGGGAGCTGTGTGTGTGTCTCTCTCACCACAGTGGGAGCTGTGTGTGTTTGTCTCTCACCGCAGTGGGAGCTGTGTGTGTGTGTCTCTCACCACCAGTGGGAGCTGTGTGTGTGTCTCTCACCACAGTGGGAGCTGTGTGTGTGCGTCTCTCACCACAGTGGGAGCTGTGTTGTGTGTGTGTCTCTCAACACAGTGGGAGCTGTGTGTGTGTGTCTCTCTCACCACACTTGGGAGCTGTGTGTGTCTCTCTCACTACACGTGGAAGCTGTGTGTGTGTGTCTCTCACCACAGTGGGAGCTGTGTGTGTTTGTCTCTCACCACAGTGGGAGCTGTGTGTGTGTGTGTCTCTCACCACCAGTGGGAGCTGTGTGTGTGTGTGTGTCTCACTACACGTGGGAGCTGTGTGTGTGTCTCTCACCACAGTGGGAGCTGTGTGTGTGTGTCTCTCACCACAGTGGGAGCTGTGTGCGTGTGTCTCTCACCACACGTGGGAGCTGTGTGTGTATGTCTCTCACCATACGTGGGAGCTGTGTGTGTGTGCGTCTCTCACCACACGTGGGAGCTGTGCGTGTCTCTCATCACCAGTGGGAGCTGTGTGTGTGTGTCTCTCACCACCAGTGGGAGCTGTGTGTGTGTGCGTCTCTCACCACCAGTGGGAGCTGTGTGTGTGTGTCTCTCACCACACGTGGGAGCTGTGTGTGTCTCTCACCACACGTGGGAGCTGTGTGTGTGTGTCTCACCACACTTGGGAGCTGTGTGTGTGTCTCTCACCACACGTGGGAGCTGTGTGTGTGTGTCTAACCACACTTGGGAGCTGTGTGTGTGTCTCTCTCACTACACGTGGGAGCTGTGTGTGTGTCTCTCTCACCACAGTGGGAGCTGTGTGTGTGCGTCTCTCACCACACGTGGGAGCTGTGTGTGTGTCTCACCACACTTGGGAGCTGTGTGTGTGTCTCTCTCACTACACGTGGGAGCTGTGTGTGTGTCTCTCACCACACTTGGGAGCTGTGTGTGTGTCTCTCTCACTACACGTGGGAGCTGTGTGTGTGTGTCTCTCACCACAGTGGGAGCTGTGTGTGTGTGTCTCTCACCACAGTGTGAGCTGTGTGTGTGTGTCTCTCACCACAGTGGGAGCTGTGTGTGTGCATCTCTCATCACAGTGGGAGCTGTGTGTCTCTCACCACAGTGGGAGCTGTGTGTGTGTGTGTCTCTCACCACAGTGGGAGCTGTGTGTGTGTCTCTCTCACCACAGTGGGAGCTGTGTGTGTCTCTCACTGCAGTGGGAGCTGTGTGTGTGTGTCTCTCACTACACGTGGGAGCTGTGTGTGTGTGTGTCTCACCACACGTGGGATCTGTGTGTATTTGTCTCTCACCACAGTGGGAGCTGTGTGTGTGTGTGTCTCTCTCACCACACTTGGGAGCTGTGTGTGTGTCTCTCTCACTACACGTGGGAGCTGTGTGTGTGTGTCTCTCACCACAGTGGGATCTGTGTGTGTTTGTCTCTCACCAAAGTGGGAGCTGTGTGTGTGTGTCTCTCACCACACGTGGGAGCTGTGTGTGTGTGTCTCTCACCACACGTGGGAGCTGTGTGTGTGTGTCTCTCACCACAGTGGGAGCTGTGTGTGTGCATCTCTCATCACAGTGGGAGCTGTGTGTGTGTGTCTCTCACCACACGTGGGAGCTGTGTGTGTGTGTGTCTAACCACACTTGGGAGCTGTGTGTGTGTCTCTCTCACCACAGTGGGAGCTGTGTGTGTGCGTCTCTCACCACACGTGGGAGCTGTGTGTGTGTCTCACCACACTTGGGAGCTGTGTGTGTGTCTCTCTCACTACACGTGGGAGCTGTGTGTGTGTGTCTCTCACCACAGTGGGAGCTGTGTGTGTGTGTCTCTCACCACAGTGTGAGCTGTGTGTGTGTGTCTCTCACCACAGTGGGAGCTGTGTGTGTGCATCTCTCATCACAGTGGGAGCTGTGTGTCTCTCACCACAGTGGGAGCTGTGTGTGTGTGTGTCTCTCACCACAGTGGGAGCTGTGTGTGTGTCTCTCTCACTGCAGTGGGAGCTGTGTGTGTGTGTCTCTCACTACACGTGGGAGCTGTGTGTGTGTGTGTCTCACCACACGTGGGATCTGTGTGTATTTGTCTCTCACCACAGTGGGAGCTGTGTGTGTGTGTCTCTCTCACCACACTTGGGAGCTGTGTGTGTGTCTCTCTCACTACACGTGGGAGCTGTGTGTGTGTGTCTCTCACCACAGTGGGATCTGTGTGTGTTTGTCTCTCACCACAGTGGGAGCTGTGTGTGTGTGTCTCTCACCACACGTGGGAGCTGTGTGTGTGTGTGTCTCTCACGACACGTGGGAGCTGTGTGTGTGTCTCTCACCACAGTGGGAGCTGTGTGTGTGTCTCTCACCACAGTGGGAGCTGTGTGTGTGTCTCTCACCACAGTGGGAGCTGTGTGTGTGCATCTCTCATCATAGTGGGAGCTGTGTGTGTGCATCTCTCACCACAGTGGGAGCTGTGTGTGTGCATCTCTCACCACAGTGGGAGCTGTGTGTGTGTCTCTCACCACACGTGGGAGCTGTGTGTGTGTGTGTCTCTCACCACAGTGGGAGCTGTGTGTGTGTGTCTCTCACCACAGTGGGAGCTGTGTGTGTGTGTGTGTGTCTCTCTCACCACAGTGGGAGCTGTGTGTGTGCATCTCTCACCACAGTGGGAGCTGTGTGTGTGTCTCTCTCACCACAGTGGGAGCTGTGTGTGTTTGTCTCTCACCGCAGTGGGAGCTGTGTGTGTGTGTCTCTCACCACCAGTGGGAGCTGTGTGTGTGTCTCTCACCACAGTGGGAGCTGTGTGTGTGCGTCGCTCACCACAGTGGGAGCTGTGTTGTGTGTGTGTCTCTCAACACAGTGGGAGCTGTGTGTGTGTGTGTCTCTCTCACCACACTTGGGAGCTGTGTGTGTCTCTCTCACTACACGTGGAAGCTGTGTGTGTGTGTCTCTCACCACAGTGGGAGCTGTGTGTGTTTGTCTCTCACCACAGTGGGAGCTGTGTGTGTGTCTCTCACCACCAGTGGGAGCTGTGTGTGTGTGTCTCTCACCACAGTGGGAGCTGTGTGTGTGCGTCTCTCACCACAGTCGGAGCTGTGTTGTGTGTGTGTCTCTCACCACAGTGGGAGCTGTGTGTGTGTGTCTCTCTCACTACACGTGGGAGCTGTGTGTGTGTGTCTCTCACCACAGTGGGAGCTGTGTGTGTGTCTCTCACCACAGTGGGAGCTGTGTGTGTGTGTGTCTCTCACCACCAGTGGGAGCTGTGTGTGTGTGTCTCTCACTACCAGTGGGAGCTGTGTGTGTGTGTCTCTCACCACCAGTGGGAGCTGTGTGTGTGTGTGTCTCTCACCACAGTGGGAGATGTGTGTGTGTGTGTCTCTCACCACAGTGGGAGCTGTGTGTGTGTGTCTCTCACCACAGTGGGAGCTGTGTGTGTGTGTCTCTCACTGCAGTGGGAGCTGTGTGTGTGTGTGTCTCTCACCACACGTGGGAGCTGTGTGTGTGTGTCTCTCACCACAGTGGGAGCTGTGTGTGTGCGTCTCTCACCACAGTGGGAGCTGTGTGTGTGTGTCTTCTCACCACAGTGGGAGCTGTGTGTGTGTGTGTCTCTCACCACAGTGGGAGCTGTGTGTGTGTCTCTCACCACAGTGGGAGCTGTGTGTGTGTGTCTCTCACCACACGTGGGAGATGTGTGTGTGTGTCTCTCACCACACGTGAGAGCTGTGTGTGTGTGTCTCTCACCACACGTGGGAGCTGTGTGTGTCTCTCACCACACGTGGGAGCTGTGTGTGTGTGTCTCTCACCACACGTGGGAGCTGTGTGTGTCTCTCACCACACGTGGGAGCTGTGTGTGTGCGTCTCTCACCACAGTGGGAGCTGTGTGTGTGTGTCTCTCACCACACGTGGGAGCTGTGTGTGTCTCTCACCACACGTGGGAGATGTGTGTGTGTGTCTCTCACCACAGTGGGAGCTGTGTGTGTGTGTCTCTCACCACAGTGGGAGCTGTGTGTGTGCGTCTCTCACCACAGTGGGAGCTGTGTGTGTGTGTCTCTCACCACAGTGGGAGCTGTGTGTGTGTGTCTCTTACCACAGTGAGAGCTGTGTGTGTGTGTCTCTCACCACAGTGGGAGCTGTGTGTGTGTGTCTCTCACTACTGTGGGAGCTGTGTGTGTGTCTCTCATCACAGTGGGAGCTGTGTGTGTGTGTCTCTCACCACAGTGGGAGCTGTGTGTGTGTGTCTCTCACCACAGTGGGAGCTGTGTATGTGTGTCTCTCACCACAGTGGGAGCTGTGTGTGTGTGTCTCTCACCACCAGTGGGAGCTGTGTGTGTGTCTCTCACCACCAGTGGGAGCTGTGTGTGTCTCTCACCACAGTGGGAGCTGTGTGTGTGTCTCTCACCACAGTGGGAGCTGTGTGTGTGTGTCTCTCACCACCAGTGGGAGCTGTGTGTGTGTGTCTCTCACCACAGTGGGAGCTGTGTGTGTGTCTCTCACCACAGTAAGAGCTGTGTGTGTGTGCGTCTCTCACCGTCCATGCGAGGGGCTGTGTCGGTGTAGAGGAAGGAGAGGATTTCGTCCAGCAAGTCGGAGGTCACGGGGAGGGGCAGCAGGGCAGAGGTTGCCTGGAACATCGTCGTCAACATCGTCAACATCGTCGTCAACATCGTCGTCAACATCGTCATCTTCACCACCGTCAACGTCGTCATCTTCACCACCGTCACATTGTCATCTTCACCACCGTCAACATCGTCATCTTCACCACCGTCAACAACGTCATCTTCACCACCGTCAACGTCGTCATCTTCACCACCGTTAACGTCGTCATCTTCACCACCGTTAACGTGGTCAACAACGTCGTCAACAACGTCATCTTCAGCACCGTCAACAACGTCAACGTCGTCAACATCGTCATCTTCACCACCGTCAACAACGTCGTCAACAACGTCGTCAACAACGTCGTCAACGTCGTCAACATCGTCGACAACGCCATCTTCACCACCGTCAACAACATCGTTGTCAACGTCGTTAACATCGTCATCTTCACCACCGTCAACATCGTCAACATCGTCATCTTCACCACCGTCAACAACGTCGTCAACAACGTCGTCAACATCGTCATCTTCACCACCGTCAACAACATCATCAACATCGTCAACATCGTCATCTTCACCACCGTTAATGTCGTCAACAACGTCGTCAACGTCGTCAACATCGTCAACATCGTCAACATCGTCAACAACGTCGTCAACATCGTCATCTTCACCATCGTTAACGTCGTCAAAAACGTCAACATCTTCACCATCGTCAACAACATCGTCAACATCGTCATCTTCACCACCGTCAACATCTTCATCTTCACCACCGTCAACATCGTCGTCAACAACGTCGTCAACATCTTCACCACCGTCAACAACGTCGTCAACAACATCGTCAACGTCGTTAACAACGTCATCTTCACCACCGTCAACATCGTCAACAACGTCCTCAACATCGTCATCTTCACCACCATTAACGTCGTCAACAACGTCGTCAACATCGTCATCTTCACCACCATTAAGTCTCCCGATGTCGAAGTCTCCCCCCGTGTCTCAATGATTCTACACACACAGAGCGTCACACAGAGCGTCTTACAGAGCGTCTTACAGAGCGTCACACAGAGCGTCTTACAGAGCGTCTTGCAGAGCGTCACACAGAGCGTCACACAGAGTGTCTTACAGAGAGTCTTACAGAGCGTCTTACAGAGCGTCTTACAGAGCGTCACACAGAGCGTCTTACAGAGCGTCACACAGAGCGTCACACAGAGCATCTTACAGAGCGTCTCACAGAGCGTCACACAGAGCGTCACACAGTGTCTTACAGAGCGTCACACAGAGCGTCTTACAGAGCGTCACACAGAGCGTCACACAGAGCGTCTTACAGAGCGTCACACAGAGTGTCACACAGAGCGTCTTACAGAGAGTCTTACAGAGCGTCACACAGAGTGTCACACAGAGCGTCTTACAGAGAGTCTTACAGAGTGTCACACAGAGCGTCACACAGAGCGTCACACAGAGCATCTTACAGAGCGTCTCACAGAGCGTCACACAGAGCGTCACACAGTGTCTTACAGAGCGTCACACAGAGCGTCTTACAGAGCGTCACACAGAGCGTCACACAGAGCGTCACACAGAGCGTCACACAGAGCGTCACACAGAGCGTCACACAGAGCATCTTACAGAGCGTCACACAGAGTGTCACACAGAGCGTCTTACAGAGAGTCTTACAGAGCGTCACACAGAGCGTCACACAGAGCGTCACACAGAGCATCTTACAGAGCGTCTCACAGAGCGTCACACAGAGCGTCACACAGTGTCTTACAGAGCGTCACACAGAGCGTCTTACAGAGCGTCACACAGAGCGTCACACAGAGCGTCTTACAGAGCGTCACACAGAGCGTCACACAGAGCATCACACAGTGTCTTACAGAGCGTCACACAGAGCGTCTTACAGAGCGTCACACAGAGCGTCACACAGAGCGTCACACACAGCGTCACACACAGCGTCACACAGAGCGTCTTACAGAGCGTCACACAGAGCGTCACACAGAGCGTCACACAGAGCGTCTTTCAGAGCGTCACACAGAGAGTCTTACAGAGCGTCACACAGAGCGTCACACAGAACGTCACACAGAGCGTCACACAGAGCGTCACACAGAGCGTCTTACAGAGCGTCACACAGAGAGTCTTACAGAGCGTCTCACAGAGCGTCACACAGAGCGTCTTACAGAGCGTCACACAGAGCGTCACACAGAGAGTCTTACAGAGCTTCACACAGAGAGTCTTACAGAGCGTCACACACACAGCGTCACACAGAGCGTCACACAGAGTGTCACACAGAGCGTCACACAGAGCGTCACACAGAGCGTCTTACAGAGCGTCACACAGAGCGTCTTACAGAGCGTCACACAGAGCGTCACACAGAGCGTCACACAGAGCGTCACACAGAGCGTCTCTCTGCCCACGAGTGTCTCACCTCCATCCAGTTGTTTCCAAGCATGTGGTCAAAATACTCTGTGGAGAGAGGGGGGGTGGGGAGAGGCACGGGGGGGGTGGGGGGGGTGGGTGGGGGGGGGGAGAGGCACGGGGGGGGTGGGGGGGGGTGGGTGGGGGGTGGGGAGAGGCACGGGGGGGGTGGGGGGGGTGGGTGGGGGGAGAGGCACGGGGGGGGGTGGGGAGAGGCACAGGGGGGGTGGGGGGGAGAGGCACGGGGGGGGAGGGGAGAGGCACGGGGGTGGGGGGGGGTGGGGAGAGGCACGGGGGGGTGGGGTGGGGAGAGGCACGGGGGGGGGGGGGAGAGGCACGGGGGGGGAGGGGAGAGGCACGGGGGTGGGGGGGGGGGTGGGGAGAGGCACGGGGGGGGGGAGAGGCACGGGGGGGGGGGGGTGGGGGTGGGGAGAGGCACGGGGGGGGGGGTGGGGCGTGGGGAGAGGCACGGGGGTGGGGGGGGGGCACGGGGGTGGGGGGGGAGAGGCACGGGGTGGGGGGAGGGGAGAGGCACGGGGTGGGGGGAGGGGAGAGGCACGGGGTGAGGGGTGGGGGGGGAGAGGCACGGGGGGGTGGGTGTTGAGGGGTTATCGTCGTAATTCTCCCGGGGCCTCACAACAGTAGGTAGGCCCTCATCAGCAGCAAGATATTTGGATATCTTCATTTGCTCTCAATTCTCTGAAGGCTTTTGTGCTTCACTGAAGTTAATATTTGTTTTTGGCAATTCGCTGTTCTCAATAACTGATTATGTTGCTGGAAATCATGTCGATGATGATAATCATGTCGATGATGATGATAATCATGTCGATGATGATGATAATCATGTCGATGATGATAATCATGTCGATGATGATGATGATAATCACGTCGATGATGATGATGATGTCGACAATGCTTATCATGAAGTCACGTAGAATGAGAGTAAAATAATAAAATAAAACAATAACATTCTCTCGGGACGACAGGTTTGTTCCTTTCACCTGAACAAGGCCACTTGTGTTGTGGCCGAAACGTCGTGAGAATTTCATTGTTTTATTTTATTATTTTATTCGCATTCTACGTGGTGGTGACTTTACCGACAGAACCAAAGAGGATGAATCCTTGCAGTCACACGAAAGCTTTACATCAAAAGATTATCATGAAGTCGATGATGATGTCGATGATGATGTCAATGTTGTCGATGATGTTGTCGATGATAATCATGTCCATGATGATGATGACGATGTTGATGATGTTGATGATGTCGATAATGATGATGTTGATGATGATAATCACGTCGATATTGATGATGCTGATGATGATGTTGGTGATGATGATGATGATCACATCGATAATGATGATGTTGATGATGATGTTGGTGATGATGTCAATGTTGTCGATGATAATCATGTCCATGATGATGATGACGATGTTGATGATGTCGAAAATGATGTTGATGATGATAATCACGTCGATAATGATGATGTTGATGATAATCACGTCGATAATGATGATGTTGATGATGATGTTGGTGATGATGATAATCACGTCGATAATGATGATGATGACAATGTTGATGATGATGATCACATCGATAATGATGATGTTGATGATGATAATCACGTCGATAATGATGATGCTGATGATGATGTTGGTGATGATGATAATCACGTCGATAATGATGATGGTGATGTCGATGATAATCATGTCCATGATGATGATGACGATGTTGATGATGTTGATGATGTCGATAATGATGATGTTGATGATGATAATCACGTCGATATTGATGATGCTGATAATGATGTTGGTGATGATGATGATGATCACATCGATAATGATGATGTTGATGATGATGTTGGTGATGATGTCAATGTTGTCGATGATAATCATGTCCATGATGATGATGACGATGTTGATGATGTCGAAAATGATGTTGATGATGATAATCACGTCGATAATGATGATGTTGATGATAATCACGTCGATAATGATGATGTTGATGATGATGTTGGTGATGATGATAATCACGTCGATAATGATGATGATGACAATGTTGATGATGATGATCACATCGATAATGATGATGTTGATGATGATAATCACGTCGATAATGATGATGCTGATGATGATGTTGGTGATGATGATAATCACGTCGATAATGATGATGGTGATGTTGATGATCACATCGATAATGATGATGTTGATGATGATAATCACGTCGATAATGATGATGCTGATGATGATGTTGGTGATGATGATAATCAAGTCGATAATGATGATAATCTGCTGCTGACGACGACACGTGTCCCAGCGGTGGCTAGGGGGAGTAGTGATCTCCCTCTCTCCCGGCGTACGGGAGGAGGAGGAGGCGGAGGAGGAGGCGGAGGAGGAGGCGGAGGAGGAGGCGGAGGAGGAGGAGGCGGAGGAGGAGGAACACCTCCCGCTCCCCTCTCGGGATTGCTCCCGAGAGGAGGTTCCGTGCGGAGCCGCGGGGGAGCGGATAACGCGACGCCACGGGCGGATCGAGGGCGCACCTAGCCTGGCGCGGAGCAGACACCGGTGGCACGGGAACTCCACTCCGTCCGAGGAGACGAGCGTGACGTCGCTGAGGTGGAGGCTGAGACACGGTGGGGAGAGACACGGTGGGACGGTGGGAGAGACACGGTGGGAGAGACACGGTGGGAGAGAGGGGGTGGGAGAGACGCGGTGGGGAGAGACACGGTGGGGAGAGACACGGTGGGAGAGACACGGTGGGGAGAGACACGGTGGGGAGAGACACGGTGGGAGAGACACGGTGGGGAGAGACACAGTGGGGAGAGACGCGGTGGGAGAGACACGGTGGGAGAGACACAGTGGGGAGAGACACGGTGGGAGAGACACGGTGGGAGAGACACGGTGGGAGAGACACGGTGGGAGAGACATGGTGGGAGAGACACGGTGGGAGAGACACGGTGGGGAGAGACACGGTGGGGAGAGACGCGGTGGGGAGAGACACGGTGGGAGAGACACGGTGGGGAGAGACACGGTGGGAGAGACACGGTGGGAGAGACACGGTGGGAGAGACACGGTGGGAGAGACATGGTGGGAGAGACGCGGTGGGAGAGACACGGTGGGAGAGAGGGGGAGAGACACAGTGGGGAGAGACACGGTGGGAGAGACACGGTGGGAGAGACACGGTGGGAGAGAGGGGGAGAGACACGGAGACACGGGGGGAGAGACACGGTGGGGAGAGACACGGTGGGAGAGACACAGTGGGAGAGAGGGGGAGAGACACGGAGAGACACGGTGGGAGAGACACGGTGGAGATAGGGGGAGAGACATGGTGGGAGAGACACGGTGGGGAGAGACACGGTGGGGAGAGACACGGTGGGAGAGACACGGTGGGAGAGACACGGTGGGGAGAGACACGGGGGGAGAGATACGGTGGGAGAGACGCGGTGGGAGAGACACGGTGGGAGAGAGGGGGAGAGACACAGTGGGGAGAGACACGGTGGGAGAGACACGGTGGGAGAGACACGGTGGGAGAGAGGGGGAGAGACACGGAGACACGGGGGGAGAGACACGGTGGGGAGAGACACGGTGGGAGAGACACAGTGGGAGAGAGGGGGAGAGACACGGAGAGACACGGAGGGAGAGACACGGTGGAGATAGGGGGAGAGACATGGTGGGAGAGACACGGTGTGGAGAGACACTGTGGGGAGAGACACGGTGGGAGAGACACGGTGGGAGAGACACGGTGGGAGAGACACGGTGGGGAGAGACACGGGGGGAGAGACGCGGTGGGAGAGACACGGTGGGGAGAGACACGGGGGGAGAGACACGGTGGGGAGAGACACGGTGGGGAGAGACACGGTGGGAGAGACACGGTGGGAGAGACACGGTGGGAGAGATACGGTGGGAGAGACGCGGTGGGAGAGACACGGGGGGAGAGACGCGGTGGGAGAGACACGGTGGGAGAGACACGGTGGGGTGAGACACGGTGGGGAGAGACACGGTGGGAGAGACACGGTGGGAGAGATACGGTGGGAGAGACACGGTGGGAGAGAGGGGGAGAGACACGGTGGGAGAGACACGGTGGGAGAGAGGGGGAGAGACACGGTGGGAGAGACACGGTGGGAGAGACACGGTGGGGAGAGACACGGTGGGAGAGACACGGTGGGAGAGACACGGTGGGGAGAGACATGGTGGGAGAGACACGGTGGGAGAGACACGGTGGGGAGAGACGCAGTGGGAGAGACACGGTGGGAGAGACACGGTGGGAGAGAGGGGGAGAGACACGGTGGGAGAGACATGGTGGGAGAGACACGGTGGGGAGAGACACGGTGGGAGAGACACGGTGGGAGAGACACGGTGGGGAGAGACACGGTGGGAGAGATGCAGTGGGGAGAGACACGGTGGGAGAGACACGGTGGGAGAGACACGGTGGGAGAGACACGGGGGGAGAGACACGGTGGGAGAGACACGGGGGGAGAGAGACACGGTGGGGAGAGACACGGTGGGAGAGACACGGGGGGAAAGACACGGTGGGAGAGACACGGTGGGAGAGACACGGTGAGAGAGACGCGGTGGGAGAGACACGGTGGGAGAGACACGGTGGGAGAGACACGGGGGGAGAGACACGGTGGGAGAGACACGGGGGGAGAGACACGGTGGGGAGAGACACGGTGGGAGAGACACGGGGGGAGAGACACGGTGGGAGAGACACGGTGGGAGAGACACGGTGAGAGAGACGCGGTGGGAGAGACACGGTGGGAGAGACACGGTGGGAGAGACACGGTGGGAGAGACACGGTGGGAGAGACACGGTGAGAGAGACACGGTGGGAGAGAGGGGGTGGGGAGAGACACGGTGGGAGAGACACGGTGGGAGAGACACGGTGGGAGAGACACGGTGGGAGAGACACGGTGGGAGAGACACGGTGGGGAGAGACACGGTGGGAGAGACACGGTGGGGAGAGACACGGTGGGAGAGACACAGTGGGAGAGACACGGTGGGGAGAGAGGGGGTGGGAGAAACACGGTGGGAGAGACGCGGTGGGAGAGACACGGTGGGAGAGACGCGGTGGGAGAGACACGGTGGGGAGAGACACGGTGGGGAGAGACGCGGTGGGAGAGAGGGGGTGGGAGAAACACGGTGGGAGAGACACGGTGGGAGAGAGGGGGTGGGAGAGACACAGTGGGAGAGACACGGTGGGGAGAGACGCGGTGGGGAGAGACACGGTGGGAGAGAGGGGGTGGGAGAAACACGGTGGGAGAGACACGGTGGGGAGAGACGCGGTGGGGAGAGACACGGTGGGAGAGAGGGGGTGGGAGAAACACGGTGGGAGAGACACGGTGGGAGAGACGCGGTGGGGAGAGACACGGTGGGAGAGACACGGGGGGGAGACACGGGAGAGAGACGCGGTGGGAGAGACGCGGTGGGAGAGAGGGGGTGGGAGAGACACCGTGGGAGAGAGGGGGGAGACACGGGGAGGGAGACACGGGAGAGAGACGCGGTGGGAGAGACACGGGGAGACACGGGGGAGAGACACACAGGGTAGAGGTAGAGAGTTATTCACACAAAGAGCATTGCTACTGATGACGATGATAATGAAGGCAGCGGTGGTGGTTTGATACAAAGTCGATGATGACGATGGTTAATATTTCTCCAGAGCTGATGATGATGGCGCTGCTGCTGATGATGGCCCTGCTGATGGTGACGCTGCTAATGATGATGCTGCTGCTGATGATGATGGCGCTGCTGATGGTGATGGTGTTGCTAATGATGATGCTGCTGCTGATAATGATGGCGCTGCTGCTGATGATGGCGCTGCTGCTGATGATGGCGCTTGCTGATGATGATGATGGCGCTTGCTGATGATGATGGTGGTGATGATGATGGCGCTGCTGATGATGACGCTGCTGCTAATGATGATGGTGCTGATGATGATGGTGCTGATGATGATGGCGCTGCTGCTGGTTGTCACCTCTGGAGGCGGTTGAAGCTGAGCGGCGTTGGGGCTGCCATCACGAATCCCTCCCCATCCACGTAGCGGCCGGCCTGGAGCCTGCGGTGGTGACACGGGGTGACCGCTCACCCACCCACCAACTCGCTCACCCACCCAACAACTCGCCCACCCACCCACCAACTCGCCCACCCACCAACTCACCCACCCACCAACTCACCCACCCACCCACTCACCCACCCAACTCACCCACCCACCCACCAACTCGCCCACCCACCCACTCGCCCACCCACCAACTCGCCCACCCACCCACCAACTCACCCACCCACCAACTCACACACCCACCAACTTGCCCACCCACCCACCAACTCGCCCACCCACCCACCAACTCGCCCACCCACCCACCAACTCGCCCACCCACCCACCAACTCACCCACCCACCCACCAACTCACCCACCCACCCACCAACTCACCCACCCACCCACCAACTCACCCACCCACCCACCAACTCACCCACCCACCCACCAACTCACCCACCCACCAACTCGCCCACCCACCCACCCACCAACTCACCCACCCACCCACCAACTCACCCACCCACCCACCAACTCACCCACCCACCCTCCAACTCACCCACCCACCAACTCACCCACCCACCAACTCACCCACCCACCCACCAACTCACCCACCCACCAACTCACCCACCCACCAACTCACCCACCCACCCACTCATTCACCCACCAACTCACCCACCCACCCACTCATACACCAATTCACCCACCACCCACCCACCACCCACCCACTCACCGCTCCAGCAACTGCTGGGCCCCCAGTGTGTGAGCTCCCTGTATGAGTGTGGCTATCAGGGTGGTGTCCATGCGTCTCTTGCCAGACCCATCGCGACTGCCGTCCCTAGACACAGACACGCACAGAAATCACAACCACAGGGACACAGCACAGACAAAGGTCCCCCGTGTAGCCTCTAGCAGGCTGTAGGGGCAAGTGCTGTTAGTAGTAGCTACCTACACAGACAAAGGTCCCCCGTGTAGCCTCTAACAGGCTGTAGGGGCAAGTGCTGTTAGTAGTAGCTACCTACACAGACAAAGGTCCCCCGTGTAGCCTCTAACAGGCTGTAGGGGCAAGTGATGTTAGTAGTAGCTACCTACACAGACAAAGATCCCCCGTGTAGCCTGTAATAGGCTTCTAGGGGCAAGTGCTGTTAGTAGTAGCTACTTACACAGACAAAGGTCATCCGTGTAGCCTCTAGCAGGCTGTAGGGACAAGTGCTGTTAGTAGTAGCTACCTACACAGACAAAGAACCCCCGTGTAGCCTCTAACAGGCTGTAGGGGCAAGTGCTGTTAGTAGTAGCTACCTACACAGACAAAGGTCCCCCGTGTAGACTCTAACAGGCTGTAGGAGCAAGTGCTGTTAGTAGTAGCTACCTACACAGACAAAGGTCATCCGTGTAGCCTCTAGCAGGCTGTAGGGACAAGTGCTGTTAGTAGTAGCTACCTACACAGACAAAGAACCCCCGTGTAGCCTCTAACAGGCTGTAGGGGCAAGTGCTGTTAGTAGTAGCTACCTACACAGACAAAGGTCCCCCGTGTAGACTCTAACAGGCTGTAGGAGCAAGTGCTGTTAGTAGTAGCAGCAACAACAGCGTCTATGAAGGCTACCGGCACTGTGGCACACACGGAGGGGGTGGGTGGCAAGCAGCACCACCACGACCACCACGCCCGGCCGCCTTTGTCTCTCCCCAGTGCCACACACAAACTCACCCACCCACCCACCCACTCACCCACCCACCCACTCACTCATCCACCCACCCACTCACTCATCCACCCACCCACTCACTCACCCACTCACTCACCCACTCACTCACTCACTCACCCACTCACCCACTCACTCACCCACTCACCCACCCACTCACCCACTCACTCACCCACTCACCCACTCACTCACCCACTCACCCACCCACTCACTCACCCACTCACTCACCCACTCACTCACTCACTCACCCACCCACTCACCCACCCACCCACCCACCTCAATTCTCGTGCAGTTCCGCTGTAGACCATCTGGACGAGGATGGCCAGCGAGTGTGCAGGCACCTCCACGCCCTGCTGCTGCTGCTGCTGCCGCCCCTGCCCAGGGCAGGGCCCTGCCTGCCAGCGGCCCCGGGTGGCCGGGCACGCGGCCTCCAGGACCAGACGGTGAGCGGCCACGGGGGCGGGCCGGTGAGCGTCGGGGTGAGCGTCGGGGTGAGCGTCGGGGTGAGGGGGCGGACAGGGCAGTAGGAGGGCGTCTCCCGTGCTGGGCACGTCAGCCAGGAGACGGAGCAGCGACTCGGGCATGGAGGGGCCGGGCAGCAGCGAGGGCGGTGCCGGGAGGCTGGGAGAGAGGTGGGTGGGTGAGTGGGTGGGTGGGTGAGCGAGTGAGTGGGTGAGTAGGTGAGCGAGTGAGTGAGTGGGTGGGTGAACGAGTGAGCGAGTGGGTGAGTAAGTGGGCGAGTGGGCGAGCGTGTGGGTGGGTGGGTGAGTGAGTGAGTTGGTGAGCGAGTGAGTGGGTGAGTGAGTGAGCAAGCGAGTGAGTGTGTGAGCAATCGAGTGAGCGAGCGGGTGAGTTTGTGAGCGAGTGGGTGAATGGGTGAGTAAATGGGTGGGCGAGTAAGTGAGTGGTTGAGTGGGTGGGTGAGTGAGTGAGTGGGTGGGTGAGTGGGTGAGTGAGTGTGTGAGCGAGTGGGTGAGTGGGTGAGTGGGTGAGTGAGTGTGTGAGCGAGCGAGCCACTGACCCAGCGAGTGGGTGAGTGAGTGAGTGGGTGAGTGGGTGAGTGAGTGAGTGGGTGAGCGAGCCACTGACCCAGCGAGTGGGTGAGTGTGTGGGTGAGTGGGTGAGTGAGCGAGCGAGCCACTCACCCAGCGAGTGGGTGAGCGAGTGAGCGAGTGGGTGAGCGAGTGTGTGAGTGAGTGAGCGAGTGGGTGAGCGAGTGAGTGAGTGGGTGAGTGAGTGAGTGAGTGGGTGAGCGAGCCACTGACCCAGCGAGTGGGTGAGTGTGTGGGTGAGTGAGTGGGTGAGCGAGCATGTGGGTGAGCGAGTGGGTGAGTGTGTGGGTGAGTGAGTGAGTGAGCGAGCGAGCAACTCACCCAGCGAGTGGGTGAGTCTGCACACAGCTGTAGTTGTCTCCACGCCGCGAGTCGGTGGCCACGCAGAGAGCACGGTGGAGGAGTGGAACCCGGAGCACGATCACCCTCACCACCTCCACCTCACCTACACTCACCACCACGCTCACCCTCACCACCTCCACCTCACCTACACGCTCACCACCACGCTCACCCTCACCACCTCCACCTCACCTACACACTCACCACCACCACACTCACTCTCACCACCTCACCTACACACTCACCACCACCACGCTCACCCTCACCACCTCCACCTCACCTACACACTCACCACCACCACGCTCACCCTCACCACCTCCACCTCACCTACACTCACCACCACCACGCTCACCCTCACCACCTCCACCTCACCTACACTCACCACCACCACGCTCACCCTCACCACCTCCACCTCACCTACACTCACCACCACGCTCACCCTCACCACCTCCACCTCACCTACACACTCACCACCACCACGCTCACCCTCACCACCTCCACCTCACCTACACTCACCACCACCACGCTCACCACCACCACCTCACCTACACTCACCACCAGCACGCTCACCCTCACCACCTCCACCTCACCTACACGCTCACCACCACGCTCACCCTCACCACCTCCACCTCACCTACACTCACCACCACCACGCTCACTACCACCACCTCCACCTCACCTACACTCACCACCACCACGCTCACCACCACCACCTCACCTACACTCACCACCAGCACGCTCACCCTCACCACCTCCACCTCACCTACACGCTCACCACCACGCTCACCCTCACCACCTCCACCTCACCTACACTCACCACCACCACGCTCACCACCACCACCTCCACCTCACCTACACTCACCACCACGCTCACCCTCACCACCTCCACCTCACCTACACACTCACCACCACCACGCTCACCCTCACCACCTCCACCTCACCTACACACTCACCACCACCACACTTACCACCACACTCACCACCACCACCTCACCTACACTCACCACCACCACGCTCACCCTCACCACCTCCACCTCACCTACACACTCACCACCACCATGCTCACCCTCACCACCTCCACCTCACCTACACTCACCACCACCACCATGCTCACCCTCACCACCTCCACCTCACCTACACACTCACCACCACCACCACGCTCACCCTCACCACCTACACCTCACATACACTCACCACCACCACGCTCACCCTCACCACCTCCACCTACACGCTCACCACCACCACGCTCACCCTCACCACCTCCACCTCACCTACACTCACCACCACCACCACGCTCACCCTCACCACCTCCACCTCACCTACACTCACCACCAGCACGCTCACCCTCACCACCACCACCTCACCTACACTCACCACCACCACGCTCACCACCACCACCACCACCTCACCTACACTCACCACAACCACGCTCACCCTCACCACCTCCACCTACACGCTCACCACCACCACCTCCACCTCACCTACACGCTCACCACCACCACGCTCACCCTCACCACCTCCACCTACACGCTCACCACCACCACCTCCACCTCACCTACACTCACCACCACCACACTCACCACCTCACCTACACGCTCACCACCACCACCCTCACCACCTCCACCTCCACCTCACCTACACGCTCACCACCACCACGCTCACCCTCACCACCTCCACCTCACCTACACTCACCACCACCATGCTCACCACCTCACCACCTCACCTACACACTCACCCTCACCACCTCCACCTCACCTACACTCACCACCACCATGCTCACCACCACCACCTCCACCTCACCTACACACTCACCACCACCCCTCACCACCACTCTCACCACCACCCCTCACCACCACGCTCACCACCACCTCCACCTTACCTACAGAGTGAGTAGGTGAGCGAGTGGGTGAATGTGAGTAGGTGAGCGAGTGGGTGAATGTGGGTGAGTGAGTGAGTGAGTGAGTGGGTGAGTGAGTGGGTGGGTGAGTGGGTGAGTGAGTGAGTGGGTGAGTGAGTGAGTGAGTGGGTGAGTGAGTGGGTGAGTGAGTGAGTGAGTGGGTGAGTGAGTGAGTGGGTGAGTGAGTGAGTGAGTGGGTGAGTGAGTGGGTGAGTGAGTGAGTGGGCGAGTGAGTGAGTGAGTGGGTGAGTGAGTGAGTGGGTGAGTGAGTGAGTGGGTGAGTGAGTGAGTGGGTGAGCGAATGAGTGAGTGGGTGAGTGAGTGAGTGAGGGGGTGAGTGTTCTTATGAGCACCTGTGCTCTTGAACATCTGTGTGGTGAGCGTGCAGGGGCGTGACGCCCGGCGTGCTAATGGGGAGGCGGCCGCTGCTGGATCTGTGAACACAGAGACAGCGGAGTGAGTGGGTGGGTGGGTGAGTGAGTGAGTGGGTGAGTGAGTGAGCATGCGGGTGAGTGAGTGGGTGAGTGGGTGAGTGAGTGAGTGGGTGAGTGAGTGAGTGGGTGAGTGAGTGAGTGGGTGGGTGGGTGAGTGAGTGGGTGAGTGAATAAGCATGCGGGTGAGTGAGTGAGTGAGTGGGTGAGTGAGTGAGCATGCGGGTGAGTGAGTGAGTGGGTGAGTGAGTGAGCATGCGGGTGAGTGAGTGAGTGAGCATGCAGGTGAGTGAGTGAGTGGGTGAGTGAGTGAGCATGCAGGTGAGTGAGTGAGTGAGCATGCGGGTGAGTGAGTGAGCATGCAGGTGAGTGAGTGAGTGGGTGAGTGAGTAAGCATGCGGGTGAGTGAGTGAGCATGCAGGTGAGTGAGTGGGTGAGTGAGTGAGTGAGCATGCAGGTGAGTGAGTGAGTGAGCATGCAGGTGAGTGAGTGGGTGAGTGAGTAAGCATGCGGGTGAGTGAGTGGGTGAGTGAGTGAGCACGCGGGTGAATGAGTGAGCACGCGGGTGAGTGAGTGGGTGAGTGAGTGAGCATGCGGGCGAGTGAGTGAGCACGTGAGTGAGTGGGTGGGTGATTTATGCGTGGGTGAGTGTGCGGGCGAGCGAGATGGCGGGCGGGTACAGTGGGCGAGTTCTCCCGCCGGTGACCGTCCCACCTCTAGGTTGGCTCCGTGGCTCCCAGGCCCCCGTGAAGACCTCCCCATCCTCGCTGCTCACGATGACCGAGTTGGAGCCCAGGGCGAGGTCGCCCACGGAGATCGGCCTCGCTCCAGAGTCGTGCACCAGCAGGCGGCTCCACACGCTAGCACGCCACATGTACACCTACACACACACATGTACAGACACACACACAAAGACAAAGATCCCCCATATAGCCTGTAACAGACTGTAGGGGCAAGTGCTGTTAGCGAGCAGCACCTATGAAGGCCGGATCGGTACACGAGGGGGTGGGTGGCCAGCACCACGCCCGACCGCCTTTGTCTCCCTAGTGGCAATGTTTACACACCACACCAGGTACTCATTTGAGGCTGAGTCGACCTAGGGGAGGCCCGGGACCGGTTCAGATAATCGTCACTGGTGTTGGCCGTGAGCGGGAATCGAACCCGGGTCGCCAGGTTCATAGCGCAGCGCGCTAACCGCTACACTATCGCTCCCCACACACACGTACACACACACATATATACAGACACACACGTACACACACACACACACACTCGCACGCCACATGTACACCTACACACACACACGTACAGACACACACACATGTACAGACACACACACAGAGACACACAACAACAACCGCCATTCGCCACTAAGTGGCGGTGACGTCACCACGACGCTTGTGCCAGGCTATGTGCACCCTGAGGCCACGTGAAGTGTCGAACGCCCGCTGGCAGGAGGTCACGGGACAGACCCAGGTGCCACGGGTCGAATGACTGAGATGACTGGCTGATGTACCACCTGTGCCCCCTACTGTGCCAACCTGCTGTGCTTTAGCCACCCGGCGCTCCGCTCGTTGTTGTGAGCGTCGCTCCTCCGCCCTCCGTTGTTGTTGGAGGGCGACTACCTCCAACTGCCCAGTAGCATCCTTCACGAGCCTCCTCCACAGAGGTCGATCTTGACACCGCTGGTACCAGTCATCGGCAAGTCCACTCAGCTCCACGTCCTCCTGTACCACATCACTCCATCTCTTCTCTAGCCCGTGCCGTGCCCGCTTAGCCCCCTCAATCCGGCCGAACAAAAGCTGTTTCGGCATGCGTTGGCTGGGCATGCGGGCTACATGACCCAGCCATCGCAGCCTTGCCCGCCGGAGGAGCTCACCGATGGGACCTTGCCCAGATCTTTCAAGGATTTGTGAGCTCCTCACACAATCCAGTCTGGTTAAACCCAGGATGGATCGTAGGCAGGCCAGCCTAAATGTTTCTAACCGGCGAAGATGTTCCATTAGGGGGGTCCACGTTTCGCAAGCGTAGAGAAGGGAGGGAATGACAGTGGCCGAGAAGACTTGAAGTTGAGTGCGGAGCGACAGACCAGGTAGCTTCCACACAGCGTTACGCAAACGATGAAAAGATATTGCCGCTCGACTGATTCGGAGTGAGACCTCTGCTGTTAAACTGGAGCCAGTCATAAGCACACTACCCAGGTATGGGAAACTCTCCACTCTCTCCACAACTGCCCCATCACCGATTGGGAGTTGTGGGGGTGGAGTGTCCGATGGTACAAAATACCCAGGCAGGTGCTTAGTTTTGGTGGGGCTGATGGTAAGGCCCCACCTCTTAGTGGCACGCTCCAGTCTCAGCAGCAGCGTCTCCAACTCCTCCTCTGACTGAGCAGCTATTACCAAATCATCCGCATACATAACGTGGTTGACCAATAGGGAGCCATCCCTTGACCGCACCCGGGCATCGATCAGCCTCCCATTATACCTGTACCATAAGGAGATTCCCCCGGTACAGCTATTGAAGGCTTCACGAACTACGTAGTCAAAATAGATGTTAAATAATGTGGGAGCCAGAGGACATCCCTGTCGCACCCCAAGGTGTACAGGGAATGGCTCTGACTCCCGGCCACGTAGATTTACCCGGGCCCGCTCACCATCATGAAGGTCCTTAATGATCGTGAGCAGAGGGTCAGGTACTCCAAAAGCACGAAGAACGACCCAGAGCCCAGGCCTACTGATGGTATCATAGGCCTTGACCAGGTCAATAGAGCAGAGATGTAGGTCTTGTTGGAATTCCCTACACCTCTGCTGTAGCAGACGGACAGAAAATATGGCATCTGTGCAGGATCGCCCTTTCCTGAAACCGCATTGGGGCTCCGCAAGCCTCTCCTCAGCGTGCCTGGCAAGGCGATGTTGAATAATCCTTGCCAGGACCTTTCCCGGCACACTGAGGAGTGAGATGCCCCTGTAGTTGTTACAGTCTGTGTGGTCCCCCTTCTTAAAAAGGGGGACCACCAGGGCATCCTTCCAATCCTGCGGAACCCATCCAGCGGCCCAGGCCGTTGTTATGATGTCATATAGGGCAGTCTGTGCACAAACGCCACCCTCCCTCAGCATTTCGCTTGGGAGATCATCTCTGCCCGCTGCCTTTCCTGGTCTCAGACTCCGGATCGCCTTCAGTACTTCCTCAACAGATGGCACCTCAGCCAGCCACTCACAGGGGGTGACTTCTTCCAATATTTGAGGCACCACAGCCTCAGCAGGGTCATCCTCACTTTGTGCCACGATGTTTTCCTGGCTGAGGGATTTTCCCTCCCCCAGGACCTCACAGAAATGCTCAGCAAATCTGCAAACCTGTTCCTGGGGGTCGGAGATTGGATCACCGTTTTTTCCCCTAATGATGGTAATAGGTGTGGCGCTGCAGGTTAGTGTTTTGATGGAGTTAAAAAGAGATTTGTGATCGCGGGCCACTGAGGCAGGCTCCATCTCCTCAACAACCCGTGACCACCACCCATCCTTGCAGCGCCTCACGGCTCTCCGAACCTCCGAGCGAAGGCTGCGGTAAGCCTCCTCATTCTCTGACGTGGGATTCTGCAGCCAATGACAGTGGGCCTGTCGCTTTTTCTCAACCATCCTGAACAGCTCCTCTGTCAGCCAGGGTCTCTGGGGAGGTCTGGACCGCGTACCCAAAGCAGCCATTGCAGCTGCATGAGTCACAGTCCTAAACCTCGCCCATTTACCCTCGACATCAGGAGGAGTCGGGGACGATGCCAATCCCAGCCGCAAGCGATGATGAAATTCTCGCTTGCAACTTTCATCAGATAACTGAGACCAGGCCACTTTAGGTAGGAATGGGGTCCTGGGTGTACACCCACCACCGGAGTGGAAGAATGGCAGGCGCATCTTACAGATGACTAGTCGATGGTCAGAGGGCAGATCAGCTCCACGGTAGGTCCTGGTGTCAAGAACATAGGCTCGCATCCGCTGGTCCGTCACTATGTAGTCCAGCAGATGTTCTTGCTTGGACCCGGCATGCATCCATGATGTTGTGTGGATGCGCCAATGCCGGAACAGCGTGTTCGTAATTACAAGCCCATGGGCTGCACAAAAATCTAGCAGCCTCCTACCGTTGTTATTGAGCTGATCTGGCCCATGCCCTCCAATCACTCCAGACCAGGTGCCAGTATCATGACCAACTCGGGCATTAAAGTCACCCAACATGATGACTCTATCCTGAGCGGCCACTTTAGCCAGCACCTGTGACAGGAGGTCATAGAAGGCATCTGACTCATCGGCTTTGCCTGCATCCCTCCACGGATGTTCATCTTCGGTGGGGGCATAAGTAACCACGACCACCATTCCTCGCCTCCGGTTGATGGGAAGGCGAGCCCAAAGTAGCCTGGGGCTTACAGCTTCCCACACCTCACCGCCACGCTCCCACGCCCCCTTCATTCTTTTGTTCAAAAGAAGAGCCACACCCTGTTGTTTGGCAGTCTGCTGCCCCGAGTAGAGGACTGTCCACCCCTCATGGTGGCAGGAGCCAGAGCCGGTCCACCGGACCTCCTGAATGCCACATAGATCCAGGCGGTACCGGTCCAGCTCCCGACAGAGGAGTGGCAGCCTCTCCTCTGCAGTGAGCGTTCGAACATTCCACGTGGCCACCCGTAGTGGCTTTTCGTTGTTTCTGGAGGAGCCCCGAGGGTGGATATTCAATCTCCTGGCTCCGCCAATTGGGGTTTGGCCAGGAGACGTCATAGACGCCTGGCCCCCCGGGGCCTCCGGCACAAGCTTATTAGTTACATATTTCAGTTTAACTCGTGGTTTCGTGGTAATTAATTGAAGGTGGAGGGGTTACCAGCCCCTCATACCCGTCCAGAGCCCCCGTTTAGCCCCTGTGGTGGACACATATGCCATGAGGGGAGGAGCCAATCAAAATTGGATCTCCCCCCACAGCACTGTCCACGACAGAGTTGCCCGTCCGGCACCACGAGGAGGTAGGGGGTTGTTGAGACACACACACACACATGTACAGACACACACACACGTACACATATATACAGACACACAAACACACGTACACACACACTCGCACGTACACCTACACACACGTACACACACACTCGCACGCCACATGTACACCTACACACACACACACACGTACAGACACACACACATGTACAGACACACACACATGTACAGACACACACACACATATACAGACACACACACACGTACACACACACATACAGACACACACACACACGTACACACACACATGTACACGCACACACACACATATACAGACACACACACACGTACACACACACACGTACACACATATATATACAGGCACACACACACGTACACACACATACACTCGCACGCCACATGTACACCTACACACACACCTACACACACACACACGTACAGACACACATGTACACCTACACACACACACACGTACAGACACACACACACACATATACAGACACACGTACACACACACACATGTATACAGACACACATGTATACAGACACACACACACACGTACAGACACACACACACGTACAGACACACACACACGTACAGACACACATATACACAAAAGACAAAGATCACCCCCGCATAGTAGTGCTGTTAGCGAGCACCTATAAAGGCCGGCCCACGGCACACGAAGGGGTGGGTGGCCAACACCACGCCCGGCCGCCTTTGTCTCCCTAGTAGCGATGTTTACACATTGCACCAGGTATTCATTTGAGGCTGAGTCGTCCTAGGGGAGGGCCCAGGACCGGTTCAGATAATCGTCACTGGCGGTGTTGGCCGTGAGCGGGAATCGAACCCAGGTCACCAGGTGCAGAGCGCAGCGTAGCGCTAACCACTACACTACCACTCCCCTCAAAAATATACACACACACACAGACACATACACACATACACACACACACACAGACACACACACACACAGACACACATACACACACTCTCACAGCCAACGGCTTACCCACCCTCACCCACACACCCACCCACCCTCACCCACTTACACACCCACCCACTCACACACCCACCCACCCACACACCCACCCTCACCCACTTACACACCCACCCACACACCCACCCACCCACACCCACCCACTCACACCCCCCACTCACAAACCCACCCACCCACACACCCACCCACCCTCACCCACTCACACACCCACCCACCCACACACCCACCCTAACCCACTTACACACCCACCCACCCTCACCCACACACCCACCCACCCTCACCCACACACCCACCCACCCTCACCCACTTACACACCCACCCACACACCCACCCACCCACACACTCACACACCCACCCACACACCCACCCACCCACACACTCACACACCCACACACCCACCCACCCACAGACCCACCCACCCACAGACCCACCCACAGACCCACCCACCCTCACAACTCACCCACCCACAGACCCACCCACCCTCACACTCACACACCCACCCACCCACAGACCCACCCACCCTCACCCACACACTCACACACCCACCCACCCACAGACCCACCCACCCTCACACTCACACAACCCACCCACCCACAGACCCACCCACCCTCTCACACACCCACCCACCCACAGACCCACCCACCCTCACCCACACACTCACACAACTCACCCACCCACAGACCCACCCACCCTCACACTCACCCACCCACCCTCACACAACCCACCCACCCTCACCCACCCACCCACTCACACACCCACCCTCACCCACCCACCCTCACCCACCCACACACCCACACACTCACACACCCACCCTCACCCACACACTCACACTCACACACCCACACACTCACAGACCCACCCACCCTCACCCACACACTCACACAACTCACCCACCCACAGACCCACCCACCCACACACTCACACAACCCACCCACCCTCACCCACCCACTCACACACCCACCCACTCACACACCCACACACTCACACACCCACCCACCCTCACCCACCCACCCACACACCCACACACTCACACACTCACACACACACCAACCCACCCTCACCCACCCACACACCCACACACTCACACACCCACCCTCACCCACACACTCACACAACCCACCCACCCACAGACCCACCCACCCTCACCACCCACCCACCAACTCTACTCACCGCTCCATTGGTGAAGAGTACAATGACGGTCGTGTCTAGCTCACCACCACCACCACCCCTGCCCTCACCACCACCGCCCAACGCCCGTTTGTTGTCAAACACAAGGCTCTTCTTCACCTCCATCATCCTGACACACGGGAGGAGAGGGAGGAGAGGGAGGGGAGGATCATAATGGGTCCGCTCTGGGCTAGAGGCACGGGCAATGGTGAAGATTGTGGTGGTGGTGGTAGTTGTGGTTATGATGGCTATCAACAGCATCACCACCACCACCCAAACCACCACCACCACCACCATCCAAACCACGACCACCAACCACCACCACCACCATCCAAACCACCACCACCACCATCCAAACCACCACCACCACCACCACCAGCGCCAGCACCACGGCCAGCACCACGGCCCCACCGCTCACCGTGAGGCCAGCCTCCTGCTGGTGCCGTGGTAGTGGTAGTTGTGGTTATGATGGCTATCAACAGCATCACCACTAGTAACCAAACCACCACCACCATCCAAACCACCACCACCGCCACCACCACCGCCATGGCCAGCGCCAGCGCCAGCGCCACCACGGCCACCACTGCCACGGCCAGCGCCAGCGCCACCACGGCCCCACCGCTCACCGTGAGGCCAGCCTCCTGCTGGTGCCGTGCGCCATCAGGAACAGCTCCCCCCTGGCCGTCAGCGCCAGGCTGGCGGTGGAGCAGGCCGCCGCCAGCGGGGCGGCCGACAAGCCTCGAGCTCCCCTGGGCGACGACGACGACGATGATGATGATGATGATGACGATGACGGTGACCTCTGTCCCTCTGGGGTCACCCAGGGCAAAGAGGTCACCAGCTTGGGCAGAGGCTGGACCAGGCAGCCCGGCTGTGGAGGGTAACCTGGCGCACGCACAAGCAGGGTGACAGGGGCAGGGCAGTGGCCCCGGGTTTACGGAAGGGTTGGGGGTTAGACTTGTCCATTAGGCAAGGCCTAGGCTTGTCCATTAGGCAAGGCCTAGACTTGTCAATTAGGCAAGGCCTAGACTTGTCCATTAGGCAAGGCCTAGGCTTGTCCATTAGGCAAGGCCTATGCTTGTCCATTAGGCAAGGCCTAGACTTGTCCATTAGGCAAGGCCTAGGCTTGTCAATTAGGCAAGGCCTAGACTTGTCCATTAGAAAAGGCCTAGACTTGTCAATAAGGCAGGGCCTAGGCTTGTCCATTAGGCAAGGCCTAGACTCGTCAATTAGGCAAGGCCTAGGCTTGTCAATTAAGCAAAGCCTAGGCTTGTCAATTAGGGAAGGCCTAGACTTGTCAATAAGGCAAGGCCTAGGCTTGTCCATTAGGCAAGGCCTAGGATTGTCCATTAGGCAAGGCCTAGACTCGTCAATTAGGCAAGGCCTAGGCTTGTCAATTAGGCAAGGCCTAGGCTTGTCCATTAGGCAAGGCCTAGGCTTGTCAATTACGCAAGGCCTAGGCTTGTCAATTAAGCAAGGCCTAGGCTTGGCCATTAGGCAAGGCCTAGGCTTGTCAATAAGGCAAGGCCTAGGCTTGTCCATTAGGCAAGCCCTAGGCTTGTCAATTAGGCAAGGCCTAGGCTTGTCAATTAGGCAAGGCCTAGGCTTGTCAATTAAGCAAGGCCTAGGCTTGTCAATTAGGCAAGGCCGAGGCTTGTCAATTAGGCAAGGCCTAGGCTTGTCCATTAGGCAAGGCCTATGCTTGTCCATTAGGCAAGGCCTAGGCTTGTCCATTAGGCAAGGCCTAGGCTTGTCAATTAGGCAAGGCCTAGACTTGTCCATTAGAAAAGGCCTAGACTTGTCAATAAGGCAGGGCCTAGGCTTGTCCATTAGGCAAGGCCTATACTTGTCAATAAGGCAAGGCCTAGGCTTGTCCATTAGGCAAGGCCTAGGCTTGTCAATTAGGCAAGGCCTAGGCTTGTCCATTAGGCAAGGTCTAGGCTCGTCAATTAGGCAAGGCCTAGGCTTGGGCATTAGGCAAGGCATAGGATTGTCAATTAGGCAAGGCCTAGGCTTGGGCATTAGGCAATGCCTAGGCTTGTCAATTAAGCAAGGCTTAGGCTTGTCAATTAAGCAAGGCCTAGGCTTGGGCATTAGGCAAGGCCTAGGCTTGTCAATTAAGCAAGGCCTAGGCTTGTCCATTAGGCAAGGACTAGGCTTGTCAATTAAGCAAGGCCTAGGCTTGGGCATTGGGCAAGGCCTAGGCTTGTCAATTAAGCAAGGCCTAGGCTTGCCAACTAAGCAAGGCCTAGACTTGTCAATTAGGCAAGGCCTAGGCTTGTCAATTAGGCAAGGCCTAGGCTTGTCAATTAGGCAAGGCCTAGGCTTGTCCATTAGGCAAGGCCTAGGCTTGTCCATTAGGCAAGGCCTAGACTTGTCAATAAGGGAAGGCCTAGGCTTGTCAATTAGGCAAGGCCTAGGCTTGTCAATAAGGCAAGGCCTAGACTTGTCCATTAGGCAAGGCCTAGGCTTGTCCATTAGGCAAGGCCTAGGCTTGGGCATTAGGCAAGGCCTAGGCTTGGGCATTAGGCAAGGCCTAAGCTTGTCAATAAGGCAAGGCCTAGGCTTGTCAATTAGGCAAGGCCTAGGCTTGTCAATTAGGCAAGGCCTAGGCTTGTCCTTTAGGCAAGGCCTAAGCACACCATGTACACCACACACACCATGCACACACACCATGCACACACACCACACACACACACCATGTACACCATGCACACACACCATGCACACACACCATGTACCTCATGCACACACACCATGTACACCATGTACACACACCATGTACACCATGCACACAAACCATGTCACACACCATGTACATCACACACACCATGCACACACACCATGCACACACACCACACACACCATGCACACACACCATGTACACTATGCACACACACCATGCACACACACAATGTACACCATGCACACACACCATGCACACACACCATGCACACACACCATGCACCCCATGCACACACACCATGCACACACACCATGTACACCATGCACACACACCATGCACACACACCATGTACGCCATGCATGTACACCATGCACGCACACCATGTACACCATGCACGCACACCATGTACACACACCATGTACACCATGCACACACACCATGTACACCATGCACGTACACCATGCACACACACCATGCACACACACCATGTACACCATGCACACAAACCATGCACACAAACCATGCACACACACCATGTACACCATGCACACACACCATGTACACCATGCACACACACCATGCGCACACACCATGTACACCATGCACACACACCATGCACACACACCATGTACACCATGCATGTACACCATGCATGTACACCATGCACGCACACCATGTACACACACCATGTACACCATGCACACACACCATGTACACCATGCACGTACACCATGCACGTACACCATGCACACACACCATGCACACACACCATGCACACACACCATGTACACCATGCACACACCATGCACACACACCACACACACCATGCACACACACCATGTACACCATGCACACACACCATGCACACACACCATGTACACCATGCACACACACCATGTACACCATGCACACACACCATGCACACACACCATGTACACCATGCACACACACCATGCACACACACCATGTACACCATGCACACCATGTACACACACCATGTACACACACCATGCACACCATGCACACACACCATGTACACCATGCACACACACCATGTACACCATGTACACCATGCACACACACCATGTACACCATGCACACACCATGCACACACACCACACACCCCATGCACACACACCATGTACACCATGCACACACACCATGCACACCATGCACACACACCATGTACACCATGCACACACACCATGTACACCATGCACACACCATGCACACACACCACACACACCATGCACACACACCATGTACACCATGCACACACACCATGCACACACACCATGTACACCATGCACACACACCATGTACACTATGCACACACACCATGCACACACACCATGTACACCATGCACACACACCATGCACACACACCATGTACACCATGCACACCATGTACACACACCATGTACACACACCATGCACACCATGCACACACACCATGTACACCATGCACACACACCATGTACACCATGTACACACACCATGCACACACACCATGTACACCACACACCATGTACACACACCATGTACACCATGTACACCACACACACCATGTACACCATGTACACACACCATGCACACACACCATGTACACCATGCACACACACCATGCACACACATCATGTACACCATGTACACACACCATGCACACACACCATGCACACACACCATGCACACACACACCATGTACACACACCATGTACACCATGTACACCACACACACCATGTACACCATGTACACACACCATGCACACACACCATGTACACCATGCACACACACCATGCACACACACCATGTACACCATGCACACCATGCACACACACCATGCACACACACCATGCACACACACACCATGTACACACACCATGTACACCATGTACACCACACACACCATGTACACCATGTACACACACCATGCACACACACCATGTACACCATGCACACACACCATGCACACACACCATGTACACCATGCACACCATGTACACACACCATGTACACACACCATGCACACCATGCACACCATGCACACACACCATGTACACCATGCACACAAACCATGCACACACACCATGTACACCATGCACACACACCATGTACACCATGTACACCATGCACACACCATGCACACACACCACACACACCATGCACACACACCATGTACACCATGCACACACACCATGCACACACACCATGTACACCATGCACACACACCATGTACACCATGCACACACACCATGCACACACACCATGTACACCATGCACACACACCATGTACACCATGCACACCATGTACACACACCATGTACACCATGTACACCACACACGCCATGTACACCATGTACACACACCATGCACACACACCATGTACACCATGCACACACACCATGTACACACACCATGCACACCACACACACCATGTACACACACCATGCACACACACCATGTACACACACCATGTACACACACCATGCACACACACCATGCACACCACACACCATGTACACACACCATGCACACACACCATGTATGCACACCATGTACACCAAGCACACACACCATGTACACCATGTACACCATGCACACACACCATGCACACACACCATGTACACACACCATGCACACACACCATGTACACCACACACACCATGTACACCATGTACACACACCATGTACACCATGCACACACACCATGTACACCATGCACACACACCATGCACACACACACCATGTACACCACACACCATGTACACACACCATGTACACCACACACACCATGTACACACACCATGTACACCACACACACCATGCACACACACCATGTACACCACACACACCATGTACACCATGTACACCATGCACACACACCATGCACACACACCATGTACACCACACACACCATGTACACCACACCATGTACACACACACCATGTACACACACCATGTACACACACACCATGTACACCATGCACACCATGTACACCACACACACCATGCACACACACCATGTACACACACACCATGTACACACACACCATGTACACCACACACACCATGCGTGTACACTGTGCAAGGGCCGGCGCACCGAGCTGCCCGCTGTTGAGTCCGCAGGTGTAGAGGCCGCTGTGGGTGTAGAAGAGGCTGTGGGTGGGGCCAGCCGCCACGCCGAGCACCCGCTGGGGAGGCCGGCACGGCAGGTGAACCTGGCACAGACACAGACAAAGGTCCCCCGTGTAGCCTCTAACATCCTGTAGGGGCAAGTGCTGTTAGTAGTAGCGAGTAGCTACCTACACAGACAAAGGTCCCCAGTGTAGCCTCTAACAGCCTGTAGGGGCAAGTGCTGTTAGTAGTAGCTACCCACACAGACAAAGGTCCCCCGTGTAGCCTCTAACAGCCTGTAGGGGCAAGTGCTGTTAGCAGTAGCTACCTACACAGACAAAGGTCCCCCGTGTAGCCTCTAACAGCCTGTAGGGGCAAGTGCTGTTAGTAGTAGCGAGTAGCTACCTACACAGACAAAGGTCCCCCGTGTAGCCTCTAACAGCCTGTAGGGGCAAGTGCTGTTAGTAGTAGTAGCGAGTAGCTACCCACACAGACAAAGATCCCCCGTGTAGCCTCTAACAGCCTGTAGGGGCAAGTGCTGTTAGTAGTAGCTACCCACACAGACAAAGGTCCCCCGTGTAGCCTCTAACAGCCTGTAGGGGCAAGTGCTGTTAGTAGTAGCTACCCACACAGACAAAGGTCCCCCGTGTAGCCTCTAACAAACTGTAGGGGCAAGTGCTGTTAGTAGTAGCTACCTACACAGACAAAGGTCCCCCGTGTAGCCTCTAACAGGCTGTAGGGGCAAGTGCTGTTAGTAGTAGTAGTAGCGAGTAGCTACCCACACAGACAAAGGTCCCCCGTGTAGCCTCTAACAAACTGTAGGGGCAAGTGCTGTTAGTAGTAGCTACCCACACAGACAAAGGTCCCCCGTGTAGCCTCTAACAGGCTGTAGGGGCAAGTGCTGTTAGCAGTAGCTACCTACACAGACAAAGGTCCCCCGTGTAGCCTCTAACAGGCTGTAGGGGCAAGTGCTGTTAGTAGTAGCTACCTACACAGACAAAGATCCCCCGTGTAGCCTCTAACAGCCTGTAGGGGCAAGTGCTGTTAGTAGTAGCTACCTACACAGACAAAGATCCCCCGTGTAGCCTCTAACAGACTGTAGGGGCAAGTGCTGTTAGTAGTAGCTACCTACACAGACAAAGGTCCCCAGTGTAGCCTCTATCAGCCTGTAGGGGCAAGTGCTGTTAGTAATAGCTACCTACACAGACAAAGATCCCCCGTGTAGCCTCTAGCAGGCTGTAGGGGCAAGTGCTGTCAGTAGTAGCTACCCACACAGACAAAGGTCCCCCGTGTAGCCTCTAGCAGGCTGTAGGGGCAAGTGCTGTTAGTAGTAGCTACCCACACAGACAAAGGTCCCCCGTGTAGCCTCTAGCAGGCTGTAGGGGCAAGTGCTGTTAGTAATAGCTACCCACACGGACAAAGGTCCCCCGTGTAGCCTGTAACAGGCTGTAGGGGCAAGTGCTGTTAGTAGTAGCGAGTAGCTACCTACACAGACAAAGGTCCCCAGTGTAGCCTCTAACAGCCTGTAGGGGCAAGTGCTGTTAGTAATAGCTACCTACACAGACAAAGGTCCCCCGTGTAGCCTCTAACAGGCTGTAGCGGTAAGTGATGTTAGTAGTAGCTACCTACACAGACAAAGGTCCCCCGTGTAGCCTCTAGCAGGCTGTAGGGGCAAGTGCTGTTAGTAATAGCTACCTACACAGACAAAGGTCCCCCGTGTAGCCTGTAACAGGCTGTATGGGCAAGTGCTGTTAGTAGTAGCGAGTAGCTACCTACACAGACAAAGGTCCCCCGTGTAGCCTCTAACAGCCTGTAGGGGCAAGTGCTCTGTGAAAGGCCCTGTGTAGGTAGCTACTCGCTACTACTAACAGCACTTGCCCCGACACTGTTGGGGGCTACACGGGGGACCTTTGTCTTTGTGCTGTGCGGCTCCTCTCACCTGCTGCGGCGAGCTGCACACGCCACCCCACGCTCCTCCGCTACTGCCGCTACTGCCGCCGGTGGTGCCGGTGGTGCCGGTGGAGGCGGTGGAGGCAGTGGTGCCGGCGGCGGTGCCGGCGGCTCCGCGCACGCCCAGTTGCCCGAACTCGTTGAGACCGAAGGCAAACGCCAGGCCGGAGACGGCGAGGCAGAGCGTGTGGTCACGTGCCGCAGACACGGAGACGCACGCCGGCAGAGACACCACCTGCCTGGGCACCTACACACACAGACAGAGACACAGAGACACACAGACACACAGAGACACAGACACACAGAGACACAGAGACACGGTAGTAGACACAGAGACACACAGAGACACCACCTGCCTGGGCACCTACACACACAGAGACACACAGAGACACACAGACACGGTAGCAGACACGGAGACACACAGAGACACACAGAGACACACAGAGACACAGACACACAGAGACACACAGAGACACACAGAGACACGGTAGTAGACACAGAGACACACAGAGACACCACCTGCCTGGGCACCTACACACACAGCGACACAGACACGGAGACACACAGAGACAGACACACAGAGACACAGAGACACCACCTGCCTGGGCACCTACACACACAGAGACACAGAGACACACAGAGACACACAGAGACACAGACACAGAGACACACAGACACGGTAGTAGACACGGAGACACACAGACACACAGAGACACAGACACACAGAGACACAGAGACACACAGACACACAGAGACACAGACACACAGAGACACGTTAGTAGACACGATAGTAGACACGGTAGGAGACACGGAGACGGCGAGGCAGAGCGTGTGGTCACGTGCCGCAGACACGGAGACGCACGCCGGCAGAGACACCACCTGCCTGGGCACCTACACACACAGAGACACAGAGACACAGACACACAGAGACAGACACACAGAGACACAGAGACACCACCTGCCTGGGCACCTACACACACAGAGACACAGAGACACACAGAGACACACAGAGACACACAGAGACACAGACACAGAGACACACAGACACGGTAGTAGACACGGAGACACACAGACACACAGAGACACAGACACACAGAGACACAGAGACACACAGACACACAGAGACACAGACACACTGAGACACTGAGACACACAGAGACACGGTAGTAGACACGGAGACACAGAGACACACAGAGACACAGACACACAGAGACACGGTAGTAGACACAGAGACACACAGAGACACCACCTGCCTAGGCACCTACACACACAGACAGAGACACACAGAGACACAGACACGGTAGTAGACACAGACACACAGAGACATCACCTGCCTGGGCACCTACACACAGACAGAGACACACAGACACACAGAGACACAGACACACAGAGACACAGAGACACGGTAGTAGACACAGTGACACACAGAGACACCACCTGCCTGGGCACCTACACACACAGAGACACACAGACACGGTAGCAGACACGGAGACACACAGAGACACACAGAGACACACACAGACAGAGACACACAGACACACAGAGACACAGAGACACACAGAGACACAGAGACACAGACACAGAGACACAGAGACACGGTAGTAGACACGGAGACGGCGAGGCAGAGCGTGTCGTCACGTGCCGCAGACACGGAGACGCACACCGGCAGAGACACCACCTGCCTGGGCACCTACACACACAGAGACACACAGAGACACAGACACGGTAGTAGACACGGAGACACACAGAGACACACAGAGACACACACAGACAGAGACACACAGACACACAGAGACACCACCTGCCTGGGCACCTACACACACAGAGACACACAGAGACACAGACACGGTAGTAGACACGGAGACACACAGAGACACCACCTGCCTGGGCACCTACACACACAGAGACACACACACAGAGACACCACCTGCCTGGGCACCTACACACACAGAGACACACAGAGACACTCAGAGACACACGGAGACACACAGAGACACAGAGACACACAGAGACACACAGACACACAGAAACACAGAGACACAGACACACAGAGACACGGTAGTAGATACAGAGACACACAGAGACACCACCTGCCTGGGCACCTACACAGACAGACAGAGACACACAGAGACACAGACACACGGAGACACAGAGACACGGTAGTAGACACGGAGACACAGAGAGACCACCTGCCTGGGCACCTACACACACAGAGACACACAGAGACACAGAGACACAGAGACACACAGAGACACAGAGACACACAGAGACACACAGACACAGAGACACACAGAGACACACAGAGACACACAGAGACACAGAGACACACAGTCACACAGAGATACAGACACACAGAGACACAGACACACAGAGACACACAGACAGAGACACACAGACAGAGACACGGTAGTAGACACAGAGACACACAGAGACACCACCTGCCTGGGCACCTACACACACAGACAGAGACACACAGATACACAGAGACACAGACACACAGAGACACAGACACACAGACACACAGACACACAGAGACACAGAGACACGGCACTAGACACAGAGACACACAGAGACATCACCTGCCTGGGCACCTACACACACAGAGACACACAGACACACACAGAGACACAGAGACACACAGAGACACAGACACACAGAGACACAGACACACAGAGAGCGAGACACACAGAGACACAGAGACACACAGAGACACACAGAGACACACAAACACACAGAGACACACAGAGACACACAGAGACACACAGACACAGAGACACACAGAGACACAGACACATAGAGACACGAAGACACGGAGACACAGAGACACGATAGTAGACATGGAGACACACAGAGACACGGTAGTAGACACAGACACACACAGACACACAGAGACACGGTAGTAGACACGGAGACACAGAGACAGGCCAGTAGACACAGAGACAGGCCAGTAGACACGGAGACAAAGAGACAGGCCAGTAGACACAGAGACACAGAGACACAATAGTAGACATGAAGACACGTTAGTAGACACGGAGACACACAGAGACACGGTAGTAGACACAGAGACACGGAGACACACAGAGACACAGAGACACGGAGACACACAGAGATACGGAGACACACAGAGACACAGACACACGGAGACACAGAGACACGGTAGTAGACATGAAGACACGTTAGTAGACACGGAGACACACAGAGACACGGTAGTAGACACAGAGACACGGAGACACACAGAGACACAGAGACACGGAGACACACAGAGACACAGACACACGGAGACACAGAGACAGGGTAGTAGACATGAAGACACGTTAGTAGACACGGAGACACACAGAGACACGGTAGTAGATACAGAGACATGGAGACACACAGAGACACGGTAGGAGCCACAGAGACACGCCAGCAGACACGGAGACACAGAGACAGGCCAGTAGACACAGAGACAGGCCAGTAGACACAGAGACACAGAGACAGGCCAGTAGACACAGAGACAGGCCAGTAGACACAGAGACAGGCCAGTAGACACAGAGACACAGAGACAGGCCAGTAGACACAGAGACACAGAGACAGGCCAGTAGACACAGAGACACAAAGACAGGCCAGTAGACACAGAGACACAGAGACAGGCCAGTAGACACAGAGACACAGAGACAGGCCAGTAGACACAGAGACAGGCCAGTAAACACAGAGACACAGAGACAGGCCAGTAGACACAGAGACAGGCCAGTAGACACAGAGACACAGAGACAGGCCAGTAGACACAGAGACAGGCCAGTAGACACAGAGACACAGAGACAGGCCAGTAGACACAGAGACAGGCCAGTAGACACAGAGACACAGAAACAGGCCAGTAGACACAGAGACACAGAGACAGGCCAGTAGACACAGAGACACGGAGACACACAGAGACACAGACACACAGAGACACAGTAGTAGACACAAAGACACAGAGACACGGTAGTAGACACAGAGACACAGAGACAGGCCAGTAGACATGGAGACACAGAGACAGGCCAGTAGACACAGAGACACAGAGACAGGCCAGTAGACACAGAGACAGGCCAGTAGACACAGAGACAGGCCAATAGACACAGAGACACAGACACACAGAGACACAGACACACAGAGACACAGACACACAGAGACACGGTAGTAGACACAGAGACACAGAGACAGGCCAGTAGACATGGAGACACAGAGACACGCCAGCAGACACGGAGACACAGAGACAGGCCAGTAGACACAGAGACACGGAGACACACAGAGACACAGACACACAGAGACACGGTAGTAGACACAGAGACACAGAGACAGGCCAGTAGACATGGAGACACAGAGACAGGCCAGTAGACACAGAGACACAGAGACACGCCAGCAGACATGGAGACACAGAGACAGGCCAGTAGACACAGAGACAGGCCAGTAGACACAGAGACAGGCCAGTAGGCACAGAGACACAGAGACAGGCCAGTAGACACAGAGACACAGAGACAGGCCAGTAGACACAGAGACACGGAGACACACAGAGACACAGACACACAGAGACACGGTAGTAGACACAAAGACACAGAGACAGGCCAGTAGACATGGAGACACAGAGACAGGCCAGTAGACACGGAGACACAGAGACAGGCCAGTAGACACAGAGACACAGAGACACGCCAGCAGACATGGAGACACAGAGACAGGCCAGTAGACACAGAGACAGGCCAGTAGACACAGAGACAGGCCAGTAGGCACAGAGACACAGAGACAGGCCAGTAGACACAGAGACACAGAGACAGGCCAGTAGACACAGAGACACGGAGACACACAGAGACACAGACACACAGAGACACGGTAGTAGACACAAAGACACAGAGACAGGCCAGTAGACATGGAGACACAGAGACAGGCCAGTAGACACGGAGACACAGAGACAGGCCAGTAGACACAGAGACACAGAGACAGGCCAGTAGACACAGAGACACGCCAGCAGACACGGTAGTAAAGACACCACCTGCCTGGGCACCTGCCAATACCAACAGCCGCCATTCGCCACAGCGCCTGTGCCAGGCTAGGTGCACTTTGAGGCTACCACATGAAGTGTCGAAGGCTCTCTTGGCACGAGGAGGTCACGTGACTGACCCTGCAGGTGCCGTGGGTTGACTGCTGTGCCAGGCTAGGTGCAGGAGGAGGTCACGGGACAGACCCTGTAGGTGCCATGGGTTGACTGCTGTGCCAGGCTAGGTGCAGGAGGAGGTCACGGGACAGACCCTCTCTGCGGTGTCTCTCTGCGATGTCTCTCCACGGTGTCTCTCTGCGA